TCACATTTGCAAAAGACCTCCCTCCCTGTTTCCTGTTATCTACATTTTCTTTTGTTTTTTAAATTAGTTATACTTCAGGTTTCTCATATAAGATAAACCATGCATTATTGAAGCTTGTGTTTCTGATTTGTTTTGCTTAACATTATGGCCTCAAGGTGCATCCATTTTTCTACAAATGACTCAAACTTGAATTTTAGCCTTCTTTATGAAAGATTAGTACACCATTATGTATAAATACTACATTTTCTTTCTTAATTAATCTGTTGATAGCCAAGATTTGGCTATGATGAGTTGTGCTGCTATAAAAATGGGCATGTATGTATCTCTGCAGTGTGATATCTTTTACTCTTTGGGGAAGATATTAAAAGGGGACTAGCAGGGTTAAATGGAATGTCTAGGTTTAATTTTTTGAGGAATCTTCCATACTGCCAGTGTACATTCCCATCAACAGTGTAAAGGGTGCCTTTTTCTCCAAAGTTTTGCCAGCATTTGTGATTGTTTGATTTTTTTTTTTTTTTTAATGCTAGCCATTCTATCTGGAGTGAGGTAGAAATTCAGTGTTGCTTTAATTTGCATTTCTCTGATGACCAGAGATATTGAGCATTTTTCATGTATTTATTGGCCATTTGTACCTCTTTGGAGAAGTGATTATTCATGCCAGTTGCCCTCTTTTTTAATCAGGTCTTTTATTTTTTATTTGGGGGGGGGATCTTTTTTTTTTTTTTTTTTAGTTTTGTGTAAATTCTAGGTATTAGCCTTATGTCAGAGGAGTGGCTAACAAAAATTTTTCCCATTCTGTAGGTTGTCTTTCACTGTTGTTTTCTTTGCTGTGCAGAAGCTTTTTAATCTGATATAATCCGATTTGTTGATTCTTGATGCTATATCTTGTGCAATGGGTGTTCTGTTTAGAAAGTTATTTCCAGTGCCTATGTCTTCAAGAGTTTTACCTATTTTATCTCCCAGCATATTGTTTCTATTTTAATATTTATGTCTTTGACCCACTTTGATTTTACTTTTTTAAATGGTGAGAGCTGTGGGTCTAGATTCAATTTTCTGCATGTGCATAATCAGTTTTCCCAGCACTACTTGTTAAAGAGACTATCTTTCCTCCAGCATATACTTTTGGCTCCTTTGTCAAAGATCAGATGATTTATGTGTCTGGGGCTGTTTTTTCCATCTTCTATTCTATTCCATTGATCTGCACAGCTGTTTTTGAAGTATATACTTTTTAGACATATAAAAATACAAAGAACTTCCTTGACTTAGTATAACATGTTTATAAGTCATAATGGCAAGAAGTATGCTAATTGGAGAAACTGCAGATGAAGTTGCTTCAAAAAAGAGGAACAGGTGACAATGCCTATTCTCAGTCTTACTGCTTACCATGCACTGCAGCACCAGGCAAAGTTATAAGAATGATACATATATTAGAAAAGAAGACAATCGTCAGTAGTAACAGCATAAAATCATCTACATAGGAAAACCAAATCAGCATAGCACATAGCAAGGTTGCTGCACACAAAACCAACCTACAAAAGTCAATAACATTTCCCATTCCAGCAATAACCAGTTTGAAAATAGAAGCAAAGACAAGATATCATTGACAAAAGCAGGAGAATTATAAGGTTGTAGGTAGTTAATAAAAATATACAAGACTTTTTAAAAGGATAGTTTTAAACTGTAAAAAAGAACAAAGATCATTGCCTTAGTTTCCTCATCAGTCCACAATCACACAAGCCAGTACCTTGTAATAAATCTCTTTCTCATTGCTGGGACAAACACCTTATGCCCACAACTTAAAGGAAGAGAAGTTTATTTCGGCTCATGGTTACTGTCCATGGTCAGCTGGCTGCATGGAAGAAACAGCACAGCAGAAGGACATACTGCAAGAAAGCTGCTCACATCATGGGAGCCAAGAAGAAGAGAGAAAAGGAGGAAATCCTGAAAGGGAGAGGTACCCTTCCAGGTCATGTCCCCAGTTACCCACTTCTTCCAACCAGATCCCACCACCTAACAGCAAGTCAACCAAATCACCCAAGTAATCCAATCGTACTTCAAGAGCCCCACCTACGATCACATGAGGCCTTTGAGGGTCATTCTAGATTCAAGCCATAACAATGGTCTAAATGAATGTGTTCCCCCTGTTGATCTATAAATTCCATGCAACTTTTGCCCAAAGTCTCCTCTTTTAAAGACAACAAATTTATTCCAAAAACTCAAAACACATATACCACAGCTGTTAGCACAGAAGAGTAGAACTGGGCCTACCATGATATGTTAAAATGTCTATCAAACACATTATCATAAACAAATAAAAAGATTAAAATAGGATGGTTTTAGTACAAGAACAAAAAAACAGACCAATGGACTACAGTGGAGCTCAGAGATATCCCCACGTATGTGTGGGAAATGACTATGAAAAGGAGCCACAAACCAGTGAGGTAAATGGCAAGTTTCTTAGTCACTGCTCTGGGAGGAAAACCTGCTCACTATATTTAAAAATAAATCAGCAAAATGGAAATCCTATTTAATGTCACATACAAAGTTGGACTACAAATGGATTTGCTGAATACAAAAGGTAAAGCTATAAAGTTAATAAAAGGAAATGTTGCAAAATACCTCTGTGGGAAGAACCACAGACATGGGGTAAGAGAGAATCTGAAAAAGGCTATGATGCAGCCACAGGGCATTTACCAACATCCCAATGGTCTGGAAGAAAGCATGCTTTAAATTTCTGTTCTCAGCAACATGACAGTTGGTTTCTTTAGTGTAAGAAGGTAAGGGTATTTGATAAAGTTTTTTGTGTTTATTTTTATTTACAGCACATGATGTTTATATTCATCTTAAGGAGTAGGTACATCTACTTAACATATCTTAATTCTCTGTATTTCTCTTCCCCTCCTTTCCCTCTCCTTCCCTCTATTTCTAGATTCCCTTCACATTTGCAAAAGACCTCCCTCCCTGTTTCCTGTTATCTACATTTTCTTTTGTTTTTTAAATTAGTTATACTTCAGGTTTCTCATATAAGATATGGCAGAAAAGTAGGCAAACAGATATCATCAGACAACTTACAAAAGAAGTCATGAAAGGTAACAAACAAATCCATTAGTAACCGGAATTACTAATGTGCATGGAAATGACACAAAAATTCATTCGGCAAATATTTGAAAGCGGGATAGTGGTCACTGTCAGTAGAGAAGTAGAAATACCAGGAGCCAGTGGTGAGAATGTGGACCGAGACAGTCATCCTGGAATTTACCCTGATACATCTTAGTCAAATTAAGTGCTACCTAACCTATAACTAAATATACCCATGCCTGGATGCATATTCCCAAAAGAAGTCTTACACCAGGCATGATGATACACCTGTAATGCCAAGCACTGTGAGAAGCTGAGGCAAGCGGTTCACAATTTCAATCCCAGCCTATGCAACTTAGCAACTTAGTGAGACTCTGCATCAAATGAAAAATAAAAAGGATTGGAGATATAGTTCACTGCAAAGACCCTGTGTTCAATCCCCAATACTGAAAAAAGAAAAAAAGAAGCAGGAAGAAGGAAGGAAGGGGGAAAAAAAGAAAAAAAAGAAAAAACCTGCAATGTTTATAAAGAATTTTATATGAAAATCTATGAGATGGTCAATGAGCACTAGTCAGAGTCAGCCTAGTGCCCATCACTAAGGAGAAGTAGGTTAAACAGGTACACAGACCTTAGAATATTACAAACAACCAAAATTGGTTTTTTTGGTTTTGGGTTTTTTTCCGATACCAGGAATCGAACTCACGACCTTACGCTTGCCAGGCAGGCACTGTGCCGCTGAGCTAAATCCCCAGCCCCAACAAACAACCAAAATTAACTGACTTGGTGGTCATATGAGCAAATCTGTGAGCTCCAGAGCTCCACCCTGCTAGGCCACACTGCAGGTTTTGAACTAGGCAACCTCCACAATCACACAAACCAATACCTTATAATAAATCTTTCTATTTATATACACATCCTATTGGTACTGTTTTTCTGTAGAACCCTAATTTACATATGAAAAGATGTTCAACCTCATTAGTAAACAAGGAAGTTAAAGGTAAAACACCAATGAGGTTTTATTTAATACCCATCAGATTGGCAGAAATGACAATACAAAGTGTTGATGAAAACTTATAATGAGGGTTATTCTCATACCAACTGATAGGATTCTAAAGTAATACAAACCCTTAGGTAAACAGCTTAGTATTCCTACCTAGAAATTCACTACTATGAAGATACCTTTAAAAAAAAAAATTCATCTGCATGAGCACCAAGTGATAACAGCCAAGAGTACCCATAGAGCATTTTTCCAAAGAATTAACAACCATAAATAAGGCAAACATCTGTTAACAGAAGAGTAAATGAGTTATGATACATCCATCCAGTAAAATACTAAATCTCTGTGATAATAAATTAATGACTGCTATCTGCATCACATGGGTGGATCTCACAGACAGACCTCAGTGTAAGAATCGAGTGCTGATGAATCTTTAAAATATGATTCCATTTATATTAAGTTCAATAGTGGGCAAAAAAAAAATTAATATATTTGGAGATGTATAAGCAAGTAAAAACTATAAGAAAATACAAGAAAATGATGACTAGAAAATTTAGGGTAATATTATCTCAGGTTGGAAAGAAGAAAGACAACAATAAGGAAAGGGCACACAGTGTGGTTAGGGGACAGATACTATTCTATTTTTTACCCTGAGTAATAATAGATGTTTATTATATTACTTAAAACACATAAGCATATACATTTTAAGCACCGTTTTGCATCGCATTATATTTCATATCCACAAAAACTACTTTACCCTGAAGACATATATAAAAGAAATATAAATTATGCTTTCATCTAAGAGTGCTAAAAAAAGAAATATTTTGAAGTTCACAGCTACCGACTGGAGGACACGTCTGATAATTATTGTAAATCTATCTCATTCATAGTTTAAACAATATATTCTTGGATTTATACTGCCAAAAAACCCCACTGTAAATAGCCTGGAAATGGATACAACTTAAGATACCTTTTCAATAAATCCAAAACCGAAAAGGCATGCATGCTTCTTCCATGAGCTTCCTTCAGGCTCTAGGTAGAAGGGAAACCAGGACCTCCATAGACAGCTCACCTGATACTTAGGTCATAACTCCCACTTAAGAGAAAGTTTTCCTCTTCGCACAAGAAGAGGGTTCGGATACTCCCAACATGGCCTCGAAACACGACGGGTAACTGCTTGACTTGTAAGATGTCCAGAAGCTGGATCTTCCGATTAGATGACACAGCTACCAAATCTCCCCCAGAAAAATGGATGACTCTGTTTTGGTCCCACCTGAGTTTTGAGGTTGAGTTGAAAGGTTGGATAATACATGAAAGAACAGTTAGTGTCCTTCTTGGAACTTACTAAGCACCCTAACTTTTCCCATTAGTAGTGGTAAAATAGAAAATTTAGACCCTTTCAACAAGGGAGGCAACAGAAATCAAGGCCGAGTACTAATGGGTCCTGGTAGATCCTTACCTCACACCATCATAAAAATCTATATCAGGTAGACTGAAATCTAAAGACGTAAAAGAAAGGTTTGTGCTAATATTGTTTGGACAATTAAATCTGATATCTTATACTCTGAGTAACCAATTTAAAGATAACAATACGCATTAACCACTGTTACCCTCTTACTATCTTGTTTTGAAATTTTGTTTTATTTTTCTCTTTAAAATAAAAAAATCTAAAAAGTAAGGTAAAATTATAAAATATAAACATAAAAAATATTTTGTGAATGTGTCAAATCCCCAAGGGAGAGAATAGAATATGTGATATTTCCCAAATTTATTTGACAATTGAAATCTTTTTTCAGGGAAAACCTAAAAGAACCCTGATATATGCTGTATTTCTTCCTTACTTTGTTTCTTTCTTTTAGAAATTCTTTCTTTCACTTATTTTTTCCTAACCAATATCCAAGGAACATTTATTAGGTTTAAAGGTCTGTGTTAGAAGGAACCATGGGAAATACAAAGATGAATAAAATATAAACCTTGCTCTCAATAAGCTTAGAGTCCTATAAACCAGGTGAGTTGAGTTAATTTTCCTATCATAGAAGGATCAGCAAATAGGATGACTAACTAAGACTTTTTTATTGCAGAAGGGAATAATATTTTAAGTATACTAGGACTACAGAGAAAAGTAGAATTATTCCAATAAATCAGAATGTATAATTACTCTAAATATGAGGGGGAATTCTTGTTATTTTTCTCCTAATTTCATCTTTCATATTTAGGGTTCAACCAAATAAAGAACAGTAAGTAGCACACTCCCCATAAAAACTCAACTCTGCCTTCTCATGCTGATGGGTCTGTTTCCAAGATGCAATTTGTTAATAAGACTGTGACTAAAAACAATGTAGAGTTGGCCTCTACAAAACGTTGTGAGTACAGAGGAAAGGCGTAAGCCTAAAGTATAGCAGAAAGTTGTTTGTTAAAGAGCCTTCTTGCAGCGTATCCAAATGATATCACATAAACCAATTATCATAAATGTAATTTTCATATTTAACATGGAAATATATCCACAGTGCTTTGTTGAATTTGGTTACAGATATATAGAGCATAACCCAATTCCTATTTAAGTATGTTTTATGTATGCAAAGAAAAACTCTAGAGGACAGACATCAGTATTAGTGGTAATTATTCTGGATGACAAGATTACTGGAGATCTTTGCTTTTCTCTATATATCTTCTGGCATTTGGAGGATTTTTTTTTGAACAAGTATTTCTCAAATTGGAATAAAATAGTAAAAGTATCTCTAAAAGGAAAGATTTTATGCATATTACACATGCAAAATGTTGTGTCAGCATGTCCAAAATGTATAAAGGAAAAGTGTCCTCGCCCAATTGCCAAGAATGGTGCAAAATCCAAAGGGCACTAGGGCTAGTTCTGGGCTGAAGGTAGAGGTGAGGAGAGGATTATCTTTCCAAGTCAACAGGGTCAGGAGGATCTTAAGATGCCAGTGTGGGTAATCTGAGGGTCCCCAAAGACCTCCACTCTGACCTCAGTACCTACGTGTCAGAGAGAATGCGGACATTGTAGGTACCACAGAAAACATTTCTCTCCTCCATCAAGACCTGCTGAGTTTCCTGGTTCTGGTACGCAGTCCACAGGTTGTAGTCATTCTAAAAAGGGAATGCTTAGAGTCAAAGTGTGGTGTCCACTCTACCCAGGGTCCCAGATGCTCCTCTAGTCTTTCCTGACTAGGGCACAAGGGTTGATGGATTCTTCGTTTTAAAGCTGCAGCTGCTACTTCCCAGTGATGGGGGTAGGGAGGAGCGGGGCATGAGAATGCCTCGCAGTAAGCCATGAGCTACAAAATGCAAAAAGCTCTAAATCACCTTTCACATCGTTGTATTTTCTACATCTTCAAATCTATGCATTTTCAAGGCTAAATTACAGCTGTTGCTGAGAATACAACTTTCCTGAAAATGTACTCACAAAGGATATACTCACAACATAAGATAGCAGTACTCTTTGACTAGCCATTTCACTGAAATCAGGGTTTCATCTTTATATCACATGTACCCGATAGGACAAAACACACCCAACAGCAACATCTTCCCTATGTGAAGTTGCTACACTGTGTGCATTTGAATTTCAAGTTTTCGTAATCTGCAGCCTTCATTTGTCATTACAGCTGCCTGACAAAGTAGATCACTTGCCCCAAAGTATTCTCAACATTTCGCAGATGCGGTATCTGAGATTCAGGGAGAGAAAATACATTTTTTCAAGTTTCAACAGGAGCACTGCCGCAGCACACAACCATGGTGGCATAAAGGATGGAAGATTACTGGGAGGTGAGACTTAGTTCGGTCACCGAGAAGACCCGAGAAGACCCAGAGAGGCTACTTCTTCAGCATAAGAGAGCCTCAGGGAAACACCAGCAAGAAACCTCTGTGGTTATTTATTTGTAACTCAAGAACATAAGAACAAAGAGGTAGAAGAAAAGCACTTGCAACATTTGTATAGGAGTTTGGGTCGGGAAGGAATGAGTGGGATGGTTTGTTATGCAACACATGTCAATCTGGCGCAAGCAATCTTATGGGGCAGAGGGGACACAATGGCCAAAGCAAACATCTCTGAGAATAATTTATTGTGGGTTCTGCTGTCTGTTATCCTGCAGACCTGCTCTAAACTTAACCATGCACTCCAGGAGCCCAGGAACTGTTGTTCCCAATGCCCCTTCCTTTTCACGTTCACTTCAATCACTCCTTTGGCCAGAGTCTGCCTACAGGGTGCTTCCCTTTCCTTCATTTCTTCCTTTCACCCTTCTGTCTTCCCTTCCTTCCACCCTCCCTCCCCCTCTCTGCCCATCATATACTCTCTGAGAAGCGGTGGCATACCCAGCATGATAGATTCTGCTACAGAGGACTGAACTGGACTCCCAGTTCCACTGTTCTTTGCTGCCATACTTCTCCCTCAAAGGACATAGCACTCACACTGGACGAGCAGAAAGGAAAAAGCAGAGCGAGTTGATCATGAAAAGAAAGAAAACCATACCACTATGTTTTCATCTGAGAGGGCTGGGGACATCTCTGAAGTCTCCTTCTAAACCTTATCTCTTTTCTCTATGCTTTGCACTCTTGCTCAAATGCAGACCTTACTCCACTCATTTTCCTTCCTTCAGCAGAGAGGAAAAAGCAAGAATCTAATGATCTTAGTAGATGAACCTGAGGAGTCAATGCATAATGTTTCAAAAGCCTTTGCTTTACTTTTCTTTACTACTGCCTGAGAGCTGATGTGGGAGGGGTTCCTATAATTAATTCTTCTCTGGAAGTGAGTGATGAGAAAGCTGACCATCTGGACTAGCCCTGGACCTCCCTCATATCCTGCCCATTCCTGAGCACCAGATTCAAGTAGCCAGGCAGTCCATGGGATGTTAGGGCTGAGGGGAATCCCACCTATGGCTGATGCTGCTCCTGACCTCTGAACTTTCCATTAGAGGACTAGGTACCTGGGACATAGGACATGGCCACAGGATCCAAAATATGGAAGAATCCTGGGAGGACAGTCCAAGCCATCCACTCATTAAAACACATGGGAATATATGAAGGCTTATGGAGAGAAATGACTTGCAAGTGGGTAGCAACAGAGAGAAACTCTGGTCTCCCTTAGAGAATGGTTCTTCCCATGATCCTGTGTCTATTCGTGGGTCTGGATATCAGCCTTCAGGGAACAATAGCAAGATGACTCTCAGCATTACTTGCCCCACCTGTCACTGAAACCCACCTTTGTTCTCAGTTTCCACTTCTGGTTTTTTGCACGCATGCGCTTCCCATCGTCCGTCATTTTAGGAACTGGGATAGGAAGCCTGTTGGCATAATTGGGTTCTATTCCCCTTGTGTAGGACCCCTGAAAAAAAACGAAAAATTTTGAATATCTGCGGTCTTGTGTTTATTGCAGCACTATTCATAGTAGCCAAGATGTAAAATTGGCCTACATGTCTGTTACAGACAAAGAAAATGTATACACAATGGAATATTATTCAGCATTAAAAAAGCCTATTATTTCCAACAGTATGGGTAGAGATTGAATTAAAAATAAACTAGGCATAGAAAGAAATGTTACATGATCTCACTCATTTGTGGACTTTAAGAAAGTTGATCTCAAATAAATAGAAACTAAAATAATTGTCACCGGAGGCAATAGTGCTTAGGAGGAAGCAAGAGACATAAGATGTTGGTCAAACAACGCATAATTATACTTAACTAGTTGGAATAAATTCAAGAGATCAATTGTACAGCAAGACAACTACAGTGACAATATATTGTATTCTTTTAAAACTCAGAGTATTTGTCACTACAAAAATGAAAACTATGTGAAGTGTGATGTATCTGTTAGTTAGCTACATTTAACTACTCCACAGTGTACATACATTTCAAAACACTATATTGTACAGAGTAAACACATACAATGTTAGCTGTTCATTTTGAGAAAAATTTTAAAACATTTTTTAACAAGAAGAAATTACTATTCTTCATTCCTACTGTCCACGAGGAAGGAAAAAACTAGCTGTTGGCAAAGCCTGGAGGTGGGTAAGCAGTGGCTAATAAAGGAAGGCCAAGACCTAGCCAGTTACAGCAACAGTATGTGCAGACAAGTCAGGAGGCTAAGGAATGCCAAAGCCTGGGAGGAGACCAGCAGGAGACTGTCAGCAATTTCAATGGCCTGCAAAACAATGGCCTGCCTTACCATGCCTGCTTCCTGTCATCCTTTGTCATCTATCTCTGCTGGAACCAAAAAAAAAAAAAAGAAAAAGAAAAGAAAGAAAAACATCCAAACTACTAGAATTGGATGGTTTAGGGTTAGGCTTCAGGCAAGAAACCAAAAAGTAAAAATGCCAGAGATGATTACTCTCAAGAAGAAAACTGTTCTAAACATACTCTGTGTCTCTATAAACTGTTATGTTCCACGGTGAGGATGACTGAGAAACATATTCATGGCTTTCTGACTGTTTAAGCTTCAAGATAACTCCTTGAGGGGAGGGAAGAGAATTCCTTGCTTTGTGAGCTTTTGTTTTGATTTCAGTTGCGGGGCTGGAACCCAGTGCCGTACACATGCTAGGCAAGCGCTCTACCACTGAGCTACACCCTAACTTGATGAGGTGTTGGAAAAGTCCCGCACATCTGCTCCTGAGAGGTTTCTACACATATTGTTCCCACTAGATGCCCCCATAATGAGAGGGCAAGTGGCAATTAGTATGGAGTCTCAACCACAAGGAAGTGGCTGCTCTAGCCCAAGAAGCTGCAAATGCAGAGCGGGAGGCCATCTGAAGATCTACCAGCAAGACAAAAGGCTCAAAATCAGGTCACCCTCTATATGGAAATGAAGCTGGTTTCCGGACATTTCCTCCCATATCAGAAGTACCTGCAAGAGGACAATCTGGTTCTGAATGAAGGTGTTCATGGATAAGTCCGTCTTGACCTGCTGAGCTAGGGTGGCCCAGTGCTGACTCACAGAAGCACATTTGTTCAGGGTATTTTTGTCCAACATTCCTGGGGAGAAAAAAAGAAAGATGGACCCAGGACCCCAGAACAGGGCCAGGATGGGAGCTCTCTGAGAAACCCCTTCATCCACCCCAGCATACTTAGGATGTGCTTGGAGAGGTGGACAGGCAGGTGACGGATGAAGTCTCGGTATTTGCTAAACCCAGAAGACAGATCTCTGACATCCTCCAGGTCCATCAACAGATGGCAGGGATCATCCCCTGGGCTGAGCATGCCTGCTTTTCTGGAAAACAGTTCATTCATCTCAGAAATACATCGGAGCGAACTCTTCCATTGTTCCTCTGTGAAGCCAGAGAAAGGGGTACAGCTGAGTTGTCTCTGCAGTAATTCTAGGGCAAGAACAAATCTGTACCAAAAGCAGTCCCCCAGAATAAAGCTCCTCTGACAATATCCTGAGGCTAGTGGACTCTTCCCATCTTTTCTGCCATGTGGAAAACTTCCATGTCCCAAACATGCCAGCACTTTTCAGCCTTTTTAGTTAAAGGCGATTATCTATAGTAGCAAAATCTGAAATGGCATTGTGTCTGGAACTTTCTTGAAAATATCCCAGCAGGAAACAAATGTTGAACAGTTTTGAAAATGTAGTGGCACATGCCTGTGATCCCAGCTACTCAGGAAGCTGAGGCAGAAAGATCACAAGTTCTGGCCAGACTGGGCAATTTAGGAAGACCCTATCAAAGTATGAAAAGGGCTAGGGATGTATCTCATGGGCAGAGTGCTTGCCTAGCACAAGATCCTGGATTCAGTCCCTAGTAATGATGCACACATACACATACACAGCTAGTGGGAAGAGAAAAGGGACAAATGAAATCAGATTGGTGGTCTGGGAGTGTAGCCCAGTGATAGAACACTACCCAGGAGTGTAGGGGCCTGAGTCCAATCCCCGGCATCCCCTCCCCATCTGCTTTTCCTCTCACCAGCTGTGATGATTAAATGAGGGAAAAAATATCAAAGAAACCAACATACTATAGGTGCTAAATGGATCTTAGTTTCCAAAATCCTTTATCTCCAGGTGCTGTTACCTTTACAGCCTCTCCACTTCCACAGAGACTTCCCAATCTCATACCCATAGACTCTTCCATGTACATAGGGTTACATCCCCCAAAATCCATTGTAAGGGAAAATTCCATAAGTCAAAAATGCATTTAATACTCCATATCCCTTTAGAAAGCAAAACAATTACAAAAAGAAATTCAAATGATCCTAAGTCCAGATGCTCCCTGACTTCAACCGGAGTTATATCCCACTAGGCCCAGTGCCCATCTGTGTTGGCTGTCTTGCCGAAAGCTGACTCACCAGCATTATCTGCTTCTCTTCCCACATTTTCAAGTACTTTTTTATTTCCTAAGGATCTAGACAAAGGGAAGGATGAGGGCCTGGTTTTCACTGCCCAGCGGACATGGGAGGTTTCCATCTTGGAGTTGTAGTCTTTCTCAGGGAAAAAAACCACATCAGTGGAGTCTTCTTTGAACCCTGAAGAATGAAAAACCAAGACAGGTTTGCTCGTCAAGCACGCGTGTGGAGAAAAATGAGACAGAGAGAACTGATTTTACTTTTCAGTCAATCCTTTCATCTGCAATTTCCACTTCCTCAGATTCAATCATCCACAGATTGAAAATATTCAGAAAAATACTGCATCTGTTGTAAACATGTACTTTGTTGTTGCTATTGTTCCCTAAATAATACAGCATAACAACTACTTATATAACATTTGTATTGTATTCAGTATTATAGAAATTATTTAAAGGTTACAGGAGAGTTTCACAGGCTCTATGCAAATACTACACAATTTTATGACAGGAACATGAGCATCCACAGACCTTGCTATCCAAAGGGAGTCCTGGAACCCATTCCCCAGAAGTACAGAAACAACTTTATACATAAAACAGACCAGAGAAAGTATGTCTGTTTTTATTTCAGGCCTCTGAGTTTCTATGCAAAAATCTCCCAAAAATCCCTGACAGACTTTGCCAGCCAATCTACAATGCAAAATGCATTAGGAGAGAAGGAGATGAGACTGGGACTGCTTCTCTGGAGCGCTTTCTCAATTTTCTTCAATGATATGAATAACTGCCCTTGTATCAAGTCAGAAAATTTAACTGTTTTTTGAGACAGGATCTTGCCAAGTTGCCTAAACTGGGCTTATATTTGCAGCCCTTCTGCCCCAGCCCTCCCAAGTGCTGGGATTACAGGTATATACTACCATACCAGGCAAAAATTTAACTTTTTAAGAGAAAAATCTCTCCTAGAAAAAGAGGAAGGTTGCCACAACCTATAACTGGACTTGCACAACTGTAGTATAAATAGAGAATTCCCAGAGAGTGTGGTGCTGCCTTTGAAAGGGAACCACAGAAGCGCTGCAGGTCTATGTCCACCACATAACAAAGGTACTTGGGAGAGTTTACTTGTTTTCAGTCCACTCCTAATCCCAAATCGCTTGCATTTCTTCTGGTTTCTTTTGCTTCTCTGAACCAGCTGACTAAACACTTTCAAGATTCTCCCTCCAACGCCCTACACAAATGATGCTCGGAGTGAGGTCCCTTACCCTGCAATACCAGCGGCAGTTAGAAATTGGTTAGAGATGTATAATCTTGTACACCACCTCAGACCTGCTGAGTCAGAAGTTCTGGCAGAGATGCTCAACAGTCTATATTTTAGCGGCCCTCCTGGAGCCTCTGCTACAAGCTACAGTTTGAGAACTACTGCCCTGGACTAATTTGGCTCTTTAGCTACCACTGGATTTTAATAAACTCTGCTTTGAGGTTTGATTTTATGCATAAAGCAAGGAGTTCGATGGAATGGATATTTGATAAATCTTAATCCCTTGGTCTGGTTTCTGTACAGGGCAGCTGAAAAAAGTAAAACAATTTAGTGGTTTCCCCCTTCCATCTCTCAGAGGCAGGGACCAGCCATTGCTGGGCCTAAAGTGTACAGAAATCCATTTTAAATCCTCACAGCAAAAAGTCTATACTTCCTTTGCTTGTATGATTTTACAGTTGTCTAGAAGGAAGTCATACTCAACAATTTCTCCTTTGATAAACAGGGTCGAGAATCAGGACAAAGTTCAAACAACCCTCTCCTGTATTCTGCACTATCTCCCTCTGCGTCTCTCTATAGGCTCCTAAGGTCCTGCTTCCTGGTCTCGGGGTCCTCTTGTCTCACAGTCTGTGTGCAGCCTTGTTTACCTGTGACATTGCTCCACTCTCTCTGAAACAGAGCTCTGATCACATCAGCAGCAGTGAGCAGTACTTTGGGGTCGCACATTTGCAGCAGCAGGAGAGTGTAATTTGCCTTAGTCCGGTGGGTGCTGGCGCTGAACCAGTACAAGATCTCCTTCATCTCTTCTTCCACCATTGTTTCCGACATTTGGTTCGTGGAGGACTTCACAACTTTCCCCTCCTTCCTGCTGAGGTTAATCCGAGACCTGTTATAGATGAAATCCTTTCCCTGGGTGGTCTGCAGAATATTTTGGAAATAGTGTAACAAATACAAGCTATTTAACTGCTCTAGAATGCTAACGAGAAACTTCCTCTGCAATGTACCATTGATCCTTTGGAACCACTCTTTAGTAGAAAAGATCTTCCATGCTAACACACAGGTCTCACACTTCTGGCACACGGGGATCAAGTCGTTTCCCTTCTCACAACGGAAGTAGGGGGCGTTTTTGAGCTTTGGTTCCATGTTTTCCATGATCCTCAGGTAATCAGCTCATTTCATTCTTCTTGCCCATTAGTCACACCACTAAAAACTGGAAGAAGCACAGTGGAAACAAATAAATACCCCACTTGAGAGCTTATGAACATCTCCTGGAGAAAAGGTAAACTGCTACATCGCCAGATGGAAAGCTTATCTGTTCCAGAAACTGCCGGTAGAAGTCTGGCTTTTGTACTGACCTCCTTGGAAACAAGACTTTACCATAAATCCCCTAAACCTAGCTCTGCAAAAACGTGGAAGCAGCTGCCGTATATTCTGAAAGAGCTGGTCATCTCATTTCTAGAACTTTTGTCAAATTAAAGAAATATGTAGACTCTCTTTTAAACGAAAAAATATATATATTCTGGAGCCTGATGTTGAACTTCAATTGCTGTTATTAATGCCCTTTAAATATTCATGAATCTATATTTAGATGTAAACTTCTTATGTTTATAGCTGTTTTGTTATAAGGAACGTATCCCAAAGATCTTAAATGTATTTATATTCAGTTTGTTAAGTCATTATCAAATTAAAATGACAGATTAATATAAATTTAATTAATTTAACTGCTTCAGAATGTTAACCAGAAACCTCTGCAGAAAACACTCCTTGGTACAAAAAATTTCTCTTGGCCTGAAAATACATGGGGAGGGGGGGTAACTTCAAGCCTCTATCACATGCCTGTCCATGTGCCTGAGGGATGGCACAGCTTAACAGTGAAGAGTGCAGGTCTGAATCAGACTCCTGGGTTTGGATCCCAGCTCAGCTGCTTATAGCTCTGTGAACACAGGGAGGTTATTTAATCCTTTAAGCTTCAAATTCCTCTCTGAAAAATAGAAAGAACAATCATTTCTACTTCTTAGTTGTTGTAAGAATAAAATGCACTGAGAAAGTTGCCTGGTGCATATGTAACCCTCAGTATATGCTATTATCCTGTTGACATCATAATTATTACAGTTGTCTCCAGTTATCCTTGGGGGATACAGTCTAAGATCTCTGTGGACTCCTAAAACCATGGACAACACCAAACTTTATATATACTGCTTTTTCCTACACATACATACCTATAAGAAAGCTTAATTTATATGTTAGACACACACAGTAAGAGATTTGTAACAATAAGGAATAAAAAGTAGAACAATTATAACAATATGATGGAATAAAATTATGTAAATATTCCCTCTCTTTCTCTCTCTCTCTCTCTCTCTCTCTCTCTCTCTCTCTCTCTCTCTCTCAGAATGTCTTATTGGATTATATTTACCCTTCTTATGATGATGTTATGGATGATTCAAACTAAGATTGACTGACGGTAACTGTGGATAAGGATGAACTTCTGTACTGTCACTGGGATTACTGTTTTGAGCAAACAATTGATGTCCACTACAGTGTTGTTGTATGTGTCTCTGTGTACATACGTACTACACTGAGATGTATATAAAGAGGTAATATATATGAGTAACTTTTAATACAAAAATGACATGAAAATGTAAATCTTACCTGTTTTCTGAGATCTGTTCCCTTCAGTTCTGGCTTGTGACATTCAGGAGTGATGAACTTGGCCATTAGATGCAAATCCATGAGTACATATAGCCCCTCAGGGAAACCCAAACCTAAAGTTTACTTCTGCTCTCGGTTATGACCCAGAGGGAGTTAAGGGTCTCACTGGATTTCTTAAAATATTCAATAGCAAATGTAACTGAATGCTAATAACTGGTGAATGTGGATGAAAAGTGTCTAGTGTCTGAGTGTTCATGGTTCTATTCTTTCAGCTTTTCACAGTTTTGAAATTTTTAAAACAAAAAATAAAACTGGAAAAAATCACTGTAACAAATTTAACAATAGTCACCCTGGGCCACTGAGATAAATCTCCTACTCCAGACGTACTATCTTCAAACCGGCTCCATTACTTGAAAGCTGTATGATCTTAAGCAAGCTACCTGGCTTCTCTGAGACCATTTCTCCTGCTTACTTACAAAGATGGAAGAGACTGAGGGAGATAATGAAAATCACACCTACTTTCTCAAATGAGATAACATCTAGGAGATCAGTTCTGCTCTTATTATTGTTACTACTGGTTTTACTCTAGATGAAACCAACAAGCGTGCATTACCATGTAGATCTCTAGCACTCGTGTCTGAAGGCCAAACACAACTAGAGACAAGCAGTAAAACTCATCACTCAGTGCAGGTTGGCAATAGCAGTCACATGCTAGGGTTAGAAATGAAATTAATGCTGAAAGATCACTCTCTTCTGAGAAGAATGTGTAAGACAGTAATGATTAACATCTAATTCAACTGATTCACCAACCCGGGAGAAGAAAGCTCCAAACGAGAGTGTATAAGGTGGGATGCATGACTCCTAGAAGGGCTTTAAAATAAAATAGCTTCTTTTCAAAGGTTCGAATCCATTAGGATTTTGGTCCATGAGACTGGCATACATCACCCAGGTCAGACTTCACTCCACATCTGAATGCTGACTATGGCTCCACAGAGGGGCACGTACTGGGGAAAGGGACACTGGTTCAAATCTCACCACTGGGGCCAGCAATATAGCTCAGTGACACAAGTGCCTGCCTGGCAAGCTGATGGTCCTGAGTTCGATTCCCAGTATCAAAAAAGAAAAAAAAGAAACATTGTTCCTTACTGGCTATGTGGCCTGAACAGGCCATTCAGTCTTTTCTAAACTTCCATTTCCTGATTTGTAGAAGACATATGATCTCTATCCTGCAGGGTGATAGAGTATGAGGATTACTGCTCTCTCTCCCCATCTCACTTTGCACTAATGTGTAAGGGTACACACACATGCACACAAAAACACATGCACATGCATACACAGCTTTTTGCTTGGCTCCTCATCAGAACTCAACAGATAGGATTTCAGACATCGGTCCTGGTTCATTCTTCATCCTGTCCCCTGAAACACATCTACATACCACACGATTCTCCTCAAACAGTGAAGAATGATAAAGTATGTTGTCACTGTTCTCCGCAGCTCCTTTTCTGAACGGCTCCTTTTAGAAGAGACATAGGTAGCCTCCTGACAACAGAGGAATGAGGGATGCCCTGCAGCCAGCAAGAGAGTGGGAGAGAGAGAGAGAGAGAGAGAGAAAGAGAAAGAGAGAGAGAGGGGGGAGGGAGCTCCTTGCTGCTTGCTGCTTCTGTGGATTGGATCTTGCTTCCCGGAGGGCTGAGCCATGTGCCTGGCTGGGGGACATGAGTGGAGCCATTTGGGACCTACTGCTCCAAATGAGGATGCGGTTTCAGAAGAGAGCAGCACGAGATGGCCAGAGGGGCTAGGCCAGTGTGGGAAAGTGACCCTAGGTATGCAAAGAGGCAGGCAAGCAGATAGATGTCATGTGGGTGGGGACGGGAGTCCAAAACATCTCTCCAATAAGGACTTTGGGAATGAGATGCACTTCTGGAGAGCTCTCAAGGATCCAGGGTACAGGCAGGCCAAAGGATTTGTGCCAGTCCTGGATTTCCTTTCTGCCCTCTTCACTCTGGTTTGTGATTCTGATTTAATGCCCTCCCCACCCCACCTCCACCTCCACTTGTGTATGTCTCCCTCCTCCAGGGAATGGTGAAGCCCAGAAGGCAGGGCTGCTGCTGACTCAGTAAAAGACCACGCATCACCCTCTCCCAGCTCTGCTGTTCTGATGGATGCAACATCAGAGGCCCTAAGGCTGTCCTGGTCCCAACTTAGTCTTTCTGTCTCCTCCACAGCCACCTGCCCTGACTCAGGAAAAAGCTCAGGCTTCAAAGCAGGAGGTATAGGCTAAAGCTGGGCTCCACTACGAAGCAGCTTTGTGTCCCTGGACAATTCAGTTTTTGCTTTCAGCCTGGTGCTCCCCTTCCATGAAATGGAAAGCGTCATCCTATCTGGCTCAGGGGTAGCTGTCAGAGTCAGATGAAGGGACTGCCACCCCCTGTCAAGTGTGATCATCCGGAACACTCGGGAGTTGTGCTATGTTGTCCATCACCTCCTCACCACGTGGTGCCCCAATCTAAAAAAAAAATGGAAAGTGTTCCAAATTCCAAAACTTGTGTTGACGTGATGCCATGGGTGGAAATTTTCATGCTGTTAAAACTGTTGCACGCAGAAATTTAAAATAGTATTTAAAATTACCCTCAGGCTATTCTGTGTAAGGTGTATATAAAACATCCATGAATTTTGTAGATTCGGCCCATCTTAAAGACATCTCATTATGTATATGCAAATATTCCAAAATCTGAAACATCTAAAATCTGACACACTTATTGTTTAGGATAAGGGTTAGTCAACCTGTGTGACACTTGTTGGCAGAGTTAAATAAGAGAAGCTTTTCTTATAAGGTATCATTGAGTTTTCAAGTCACCAATTTGCTCTTTGGAGCAGGTAGGGAAAGAAGGGGAAACAATCTCTCAAAAGAAAGGCCAGGGACTAGAAAAGAAGAGGCGGAGAGTGGGTGATTTAACAAGCAACAAGCACCACTAAGAGCTGTGGTTGGTTATTCAAGGTTAAAATTAACAATTTAAGTAAAGACCCTCATGGTTACTGGAAAAGAGTGTGTGTGTGTGTGTGTGTGTGTGTGTGTGTGTGTGTGTGTGTGTGTGTGTGAATTCATGCTCTTTTGGTCTTATATAAAAATAATTTTCAAAAATCTTACTCAACTATCACAGCTAAGCTGCAACTAACCCTTCTACATCTCAGCAGCTTCTAGCCATAGGAGCTCCCTGCAGACTTTTCAGATGAACATGTGTCCTTGTGAGGTTTGTATAAAATCTTTACCTTTCTACAGATGCTCTTCCCTCCCTGTCCTCCTCATTTTCTGTTCATTCAATCAAAATTTGAAGTGAAATTTTATTCTCCCACAAAATGCTCCAGGTCTTTTTGTGCTATCAAGGTCCTGTGTATTGGGTTGTTAATGTACACCTTGAAGTCCAGCCTTCACTGTTGGACGTACAGATAGGGCCCTGGGAAGCTAGGAGAGACTGGTGAGATGGGAGGTGGGGATTGACATAGGGGTCCCACGAGTCGGGGTGTTCACTCAGGGCAGTTTCCTGGTCTGCATTACTTATTTCTCTATTTTTCATATTTGCAGTCTTCAACTTGGGCTCACTCCTAGTTTAATAAATGATACACGGCTCTCATATAAACCATTCATGACCTCAATGTATCCATCTATAAAATGGAGTGATTGGACTCTCTCTATGCTCACAGAGTGCAACCAGCTCTAAAATAATCCTTTTTTAAATTTACAGTGACCACTTTTGTACCCTTAACCAACAGATCATGTTGTTCATCAATACTAAACAGATGTCTAGGACTATAAAAACCCACAAAGGCCACTATAGCATTATTTTAAAAGCCTATTTAAATATAAACTGTCTATTTAAGTATAAACTATCACCATACAGACAGCTTCACAATGATAGCTCCTCAAACAGTAAGAACTTTTAGTAGTAGAGTCAGCCAACTGCACATATCAGAGTCTCTGGGTCCTCTTTCTATCTTCAAATCCACCATTGCCAAAGTTCTGCTAAGGTCCCTCAGGTGTCCTCTAAAAAACATAGTTTTTGCAAACTAATAAATATAGAAAGGAGTGCATGTTTTGAGCGCCATTTTTAAATACCATTTTCCCTTTCTGGTTGCTTTGTTGGTTAGTTAGTTGGTTGGTTGTATGGGTGACTGGTTGCTATGTAGACCAGGCTGGCCTCAAACTCATGGCAATTTCCCTGCCTCAGCCTCCCTAGTGCTAGGATTATAGGCATGCACCACCACACCTAGCTTGTCTGCTTTTTGAAACAGGTCTTATGTTTTAGGCTACCCTTAAACACACTGTGTAGTACAGACTGGCCTCATGTTGGTAGTCCTGTCTCGGCCTCCTTACAGGTGTGTGCCTCTACTCCCAGCTTATTTTTCTCGTCACATATCTCCTGCAATATTGGTAGCTCTGGAATATAGATCCTGCTTTCTCTGTTCCATGGATTGAAGATGAAAAGGTAGCAGCTCAGGACATTTATGTAACTTGCTCCAAGAAACTCAATAACAAATTGTGAAAGGATTAAGTAATCTGTGCTCATTTCTAAAATGAAGTTACTGTCACAGATTTTGAGACTTCAACAACTCTCAGAAGTGTTTCCCTGCCCGCAGTATCAGCTCACCCAGCAACTTGCTAAAAGGGACGTTCTCACTCCCTCAGCCCGGACTAAATCCCTCAGAGTTCCTAAATCAGGAACTCTAGGGTAGGGGTCAGGTCCAGTAGTCTGTTTTAACTAATGGGATTCTGACGCACAATTAGGTCTGAGAACCATGAGTTTGTCTATGTCCTCTTGAGCCCATTCTGCTTTTCATCTACCAGTAGTAACAGCCCTACAGTTTCAGACAAGCAGGGAGATATTCTTGGCCATCCTCATGTGCCCTACCTCCTTCGGATTCAGCACATTTATATGCTCTCTTAGTTCTTGACTTTTTGGATAATGAAACATTTCTAGCCAGTGCCCTTGCAATGGTTTTGATGAGCATCCCTAAAGAGCCACATGTTGAAGGCTTAGTCCCCAGGGTAATATTTTCGGGAGGTGTGGAGCCTTTAGGAGGTAGGCCTGGCGGGAGGTTTTTAGATCATTGAGGGAGGGCCTTTGAAGGAAACAGAGGGACCCTGGCCCTTTCCCCTTCCCTTCTTGGCTCATGAGGTGAACAGTTTGCTCTGCCATGTGCTTCCCACTGTTCTCGCCAAGAGTCCCAAAGCAATAGGTCTGTCTGATCTTGAACTGGAAGTTTCAAAACCATAAGCCAAAATAAACCCTTTCTCTTCATAAGTTAATAGTCTTGGGTATTAAGTTATAGTGATGGAAAACTGGAGCAAGCCCTGGAAGCCAGTACAAGTACCTTGTCGTCGAGCCCACCTGAATCAGTGATGAGACAGCATCCTGGATTGCCGTGGGCACCTGCCTGCACAAGGCAACTATGCTGGCTTGCATTGCCTGCCTCTTCACCCTAGATTATCGCCACTACATATCCCTGCCCGCTGGCATGCAGAGCTTAGCCTGCTGCACCCTCTATCAGATCTCCTGGCAGTTCGACCCTTGCTGTAAGTACAAGTGGAATAAGATGCCTATAAACTGTCTCGACTGCCTCTGCACGCACTTACCTTCTCTACCCCAGTGTGCTGGTCCAGAAGGACAACCTGCACAGAGCCTGCACAACACAATAGCACTGGCTGCCTTGGTGTACTGTGTAAAGAAGATTTACGAACTCTACACTGTATGAGTCCAGTGAACAGGAGGAGGAACAGAACCACACAGCCCGAAAGAGACAAGAGGATGCAAAGGAGTTGGATTGCTGCAGGCACGCTTTTTGCTTGTGAGGCAGCAGAGACTGGGAAGATGTTTGGTTTGATATTTGTTATTTTTTAAAAAGAACACAGATCTTGGGTGTACCAAGGGTTTTTTCAGCTACTTACAAAAATGTGATTTGCATAACTCTGGAGGGGGTCTGGGGCTATGGAAGTCTAACGAGGCAGTAGAGTGGATAGAAGACAACATTGCTGAGGGGGTGTGAACACGCCTGGGAGTCTTGAAGTATATTGTTTAACTGCACCATTCGGAGCCAGCCAGAAGCTATCAACCACTAAAATTATGAGCATTTTTTAAAAATCTCAGAAGGATGGGCTTTTTTCTCAATAAGATTATGAGATAACCAGAAATAGAGATAAAAACTAAGGATGTCCACAAAACATAGAAGGGCAGCGCTCTACCTAAGCCGTGCTCAGTCTATGCCCTGCATGTGGATTTCCAGTGTACATAGTCCAGTGGGCCTCCCCATAAGGGCCCTGCAACCAAGATGTCTAATAACAGGTATCAAGGGAGAGGCTCCAGTGCCAAAATTTGAGGGATCTAGAAGCAGGACATGTGCACACCTTTCCTTCCACTCACTGTCTGGGGCTAGGGGTGCAGAGTGGCAGCCTCTGAGTGGAGGGTCTGGCTGAGGCCTTGGGGAGCAGATAAAGAGTACATTAGTCACCAACACAACACGGAACTCAGCCACTGAAGATGGCCCAAGAAAAGTGTTAAATTACAAGCAGAGCAAATGGACACAGAAATGAGGAATCCGTTTATATTTGTCTTAAATAGTTGATTCTTATCCAGCTCTTCACCTATGAATCTTTTCTATTTCCATTTAAATCAGTATATTATGATCAAAAGACATAGCTAGCTGTCTTCTGGGCTATTCTATCACAGTATCTAGCACAGAGGCTTGTGTGCTGTAAGTGCCACAAGCATACTGAATCTATTTAATTTGAAGACATTCGTTCCAAAAACATGCTGAGCCGGGTTGAGAGGGGCTTTGGTTTGACTGTGTTCCCCAGAAAGCACGGGTCAGGAACTTCACATCCAACACAGTAGTGCTAGGAGGTGGGGCCTAATGGCAGGTGTTTAGGTGAGGAAGGCCTCACTGTCGAGAATGCTTTAATGCTGATTATAATAGGGCTTAAAACTGAGGGTTCTCTTTCTAAAGTGCTCCCTCACCTTTGCCCCTTTTACCATGGGATGAGGCAACAAGAAGGCCCTCACCAGATGTGAACCCCTTGATCTTGGACTTCCTAGCTTCCAGAACTGTAAAAAAATGTATTTTCTTTGTAATTTACTAGGTATGATACTCAGTTATAACAGCACAAAACTGAGTAAGACAAAGAGATAAGCAAATATCCAACACTGAGGAAACATTAGGGTCTCATTTCTTCATGAATCTTTGGAGCTCGTAGGAGTGTTCTCATAATTTATAAGATTCTTGGAACAATGTCATATGTGCTTAGATTTCAAAAGGTTGAGACAAGATTAGGCAGTGGCTAAAATTACATCCTCCATGGACTGGTAATGGAACAAAATGATCTGGCACCAAAGCAAGCTCTTGATGAGTTCAAGTTTAATGTTGGTTTGGTTTTTTAGTTGAGTCTACACAACGGATGAGCTGACAAGGATGCATAAATACAAGTACACCCACACCTAGGGACAGTGCACAGGAATATAAAATAGGCTTTGGTTCTTTTTTTCTTGCCTTAGTTTTTATTTACCTGTGTTAGGCAATTTTCAGAAAAAGAAAAAGAAAAACATTATGCCATCACTTAAGGCAATGACAGGAAGCATGTACTATGTCAACTTTTAATTTGTTTTGATCTTTTATATCATCACCAGATGAAGGGTCTTGAACCTCAAGCTAACAGACAAAAAAAAGCAAACAGGAAAATGTAGCACAAGCTAGGTAAGAAGACATATAAATACTTCTTTTCATATAGTCTTCTGTGCGCTAACCTCTCCAAAGTACCTTTCAGGACACTGACACAGTTACAGGACTACAGATCAGACAGGAACCCTTGAAAAATTAGAAAGAGGACAGAATGAGGATAGAAAATATTGCCTTGATTTTAAAAAAAAATAAAATAAAATTGATCCTGGAAAGAACAGACTAATAAAGTTGATGTTAACCCACAGAAAAATCCTTTTAAAACATACGATTTAAAAAAAAAAAAAAAACTTAAAAGAATGTAGGCCATGCTGATCACATTTTCTCTCTTAAGCAATAGCTGAGTTGTACAGTTCTACCAACTGTACAGTTCTACCAATGAGTGGCTTATATATAACTAATCTCAGAAAGTATTGACCAAGTGCTTCAAGCTTCTGGATTTGGCCCTACCCTAATTAGTACATTTATCAACAAGGTTAGGACTTAAGAAGAAAGGGGAATTGATTCTGCAGATGACACTAGGCGAAGAAGGAGAATCATCAATCTACACTATGTCAGCACATAGCAATGAAGAGGGAATTAGTATAAAAAAATTAAATCCTACACTGTATAAATCCTTAAATATAACTTGGACAGAGTCACTGGAAACAAATCAAATGATGCTAAAGTAATACACATATATTACTTTACAAGAATACCTGCAGTGTACAGTAACATACTGTTCAGGCAGGATCATCAGTCTAGCTGAACAGAGAGAGATTTGCCTTCACACAGGTCACAGGAACAGACCCGGAAGTAATATTCCTGGTTAATCTCACAAGGAGCTTCAGGTTATGGCCTCAGAAATCCATTTAAAGATGGGTTTTCACTTTCCTGAGGGCTGGGTAAGTGTTTATCATTAATCTTAGAGCGCTGATCTGTCAAAAGAAGAATGAAATACTCAAAAAGGTGGGGGTTGAAGGAACAGGAACCAGAAAGAAAAGTAGGAAATTTAGTGTGAGAACAAGACTATCTGGAGGAAGAGAGGAGTGCTGTCTACAAATAATCTGAAGAACTGTCTTGTGAATGAGAAATTAGACCACTCCGCAATGACTGGTGACTTCAGAAGGGAGAAGTGGGACCACTCTCCAGAAGCCACGGGACTAAGACTTGGACTCCATTAAGACATTTCTCCTAATCCTCACCGTCCAAAACTAGAATGAGTTTCTCTGTGAAATGCTGAGTTTTTGGCCAGTGCATGGCTAGATGGCTGAGTCTGACATGGTACATGCAAAAAGATGTGCAAATTCTAAGAAGTCACTTTCAGACACTTAATTTCCCTGCTATATAGTTTACCATGTGGTTTATTGCCTTACACATAACATTCATAATCTAATGAGGAAGGCTGTATACCTTGGTGTTCAAAAGTTCAGCAGTGGCCCACCCAGATTTGAATCCTAACTCTACCCCTCACTTACTGAATAACTAGAGAAACCCTGAGCAACTTAGCTAATTACCTCGGACCAGTTTCCCCTTTCACAAAATGAGGATGATGTGAGTATCTATCTCATGGATCCGCCATGATGACTGAGTTAATTGTGGAAGAAGCACTTAGAAAACTGTCTGGCACAGAGCAAACAGAGTAAAATTCACAATTTATTGTTATTTCTCTGCAATCACTCAGTACTCTGAACATTCCTCTTTAGCAATTCTGAGTAAAGTATGGTGTTCTCCTGGGCAGATAAGAGGTTATCATTAGTACATGATGGGAGAGACTTTAGTGCCTTACAGTTGTTGCAAATATACAAAGAAATGCTATATGCAGCAAAAGGAAGCAGCTGGAGAAGCTTCATCATTCATAGATCTACATGAATTTAAAACCACGCTACCATTGGCAGATATTTCTTGCCCCAAGGAAGAAATACTCTGGGAAGTCGAGGCGGGAAGATCACACGTTTGAGTCCAAGTCGCACACTTAGAGACTTAGAGAGACATTGCCTCAAAATTAAAAAAAAAAAAGGTGGGGATGTAGCTCAGTACAAATCTCCTTGGTTGAATACCCAGTAGTGAAAAAAATATATAAGCTGCTGCCCCACCACAGTGGTTAGCAAAGGCCTGTAAGACAGATCCTAGAATCTACGGAGCAATCTCTACTGAGGATGGTGCTGGCTTCTCAGGTTCCTCTCCCAGATCCACAATCCGGACGGTGTTTTCTTTCTTGGAAAGCCAGAAAGCAGCGTAAACTGGTTCTGAAAACTTGCAGTCAAACTTGTGAACCAAAGTCATGGCTTCATACTCTACACCGTAGAAGGAAAGGGTCCCCCTTGGGAAGCTGACATAGACGCCAAGCCTCCGGAAAGGGCCAGCTTTGACTGCAGTCTCTGTGTCACCGTGCCAGGCTGCATACTCCTTCCCGTTCCAGCAGAGGCTCCAGGAGAAGTTGTTTCCCGAAATACAACTGTTGCGTTCCTCTCCCTTCCGGTCGATGCCTTTGCAGGTCAGGCCAACATAGGTGCCTGCCCCAGAGATCTCTACCTCAAAATAGTAACTGTGCAGGTACAGACTCTGTTGGGACAGCACTTGGCGCCAATGCACAAACCTGCTCGGGAGGTCTGGATAGGGATGTTCCCAAGGTGTGGTGTTGGTGACTTTGCGGTTGTCCTCTTGCAGCCGGAGGTACCTGTGTGCTGTGTCTGGGTCAAATGTGATGTCACATGCATCTGAGGGAATATAGAAGACAGGAGAAGAGTTCAGAACCTACTCATACAGAAAGCTTTAAATTCAGCTGGGCTGCAAAGCATGTATGAGAAGACACCCATCTCCCCATTCTGTTGGCCCCAGCTACAGTTCTTCTAGGAATAGAGGCTGGTGGAGATCAGAAAATGAGGAGCGTGCAAGTCATTCTGCTTCCCTCCTGCAGGAAGCTCACTTGGCACTGACTGTATTATTACTGAGCAAAGTGAGTAAAAAATAAATGCATCCGTTCATTCAACAAATATAAAGAGAAAGCCAGGCACTATTCTACCTAGTGCTGGTAAGAAATGGGATATAGGTGCTCATATGCCTACATTTAATCCATTCCTTCATTTTTTTAGACATTTGACCAGTATTTATTAGGGTGAATCTACAAACTTTCCCCCAAATATACTGTCTTCCCAGTTCCAGAAGATAATAGCCCCTTCATGCTTAACATTGGTCAAGTCAAACTCCAAGTAATTATTGACATTTCCTGTGTCATTATCCTCACCCATATCCCTCCCCACAAAGACAGACAGCAGAAAGTCCTATAGTTCCTATGTACTACTCTCCAGCCCTTGCTTCAACTCCCATCTAAGCCATAACCGAATCTCACCTAGGCTAGTACAACAGGCTCCTTACTAAGTGCCTACAATAATAATTATTCAAAAGAAAACAGTAGGAACATTGTTATGAATAATGATAGTAAAGTTAATATGTATAAAAATACTTTTAATTCCAAACAAACATCAATTACAATAAGCTACATTTAATATTTACTTTAATGTTAAGAATAAAAGGTCTTTGCCTTCTTGTATGAATTATGTCTGTCTATAAAATATAAATAGCTTTTTTTCAGGAAACAGGAAAGAATAAAGGAAACTGTGTAGAAGCTAAGAGGTTTTAGGAAAAAACAGGAACTGTAGCAGAGTCTTTACCAGCATCTGAGATCACACACACACACACACACACACACACACAGAAAAACCAGGCATAGTGGCACATATAATCCTAGCTACTTGGGAGTAAGAGACCAGGATATAAAATGTCATGGATTTGTTGACTATCACAGAATACTTTTAAATTTATTTTTTAATTGACAAATAAAAATTATATATATATGATGTACAACATGATGTCTTAATACATGTATATATTGTGGAGTGGCTAAATCAAGCTAAATAACACATATGTCACTCACATATGCTATATATATGTCTTTTTGTGGTGAGGACATCTAAAATCTACTCTGTTATCAATTTTCAAACATTTAATGTGTTGCTATTAACTATAGTTATCATGTTGTATAACAGACTTCTTGAACTTGTTCTATCAGGAAATGCAGATTAGAAATACAGTGGTTTTTAAAATGCTAACAGACAGCACTTGGGAAGCTGAGGCAGGAGGATCACAAGTCCAACTCCCTCCTACACAACTTAGCAAGTCCCTGTCTCAAAAAATTTTTAAAAAGGGCTGCAGATGTAGTTCAGTGTGAAGGCCCTAGATTCAGTCCCTGGTACTGAAAAAAAAAAGAAAAAAGCTAGCCAGCAGCCCTAGTCAATACCACATGGATCTGATCAAGCCAGTCGTTAAAATAGACCACTTGGTAACTAGCCAGGATTCTTCAAAAGGCAAGGGTCACAGAAGACAAAGAAAGACTGAGGAGCTGACTCAAACTGGAGATAACTAAGGAAAAATGGAAATATGTATGCTCCTGGGTTGGATTTGGGGCCAGAAAAACTGACCTTCAGATGGGCACAGTGGTGCACACTGTAATCGTAGCTACTTAGGAAGCTGAGGCAGGAGGAGAATAGGTTCAAGACCAGCCTGGGTAACATAGCAACACTCTTTTGAAATAAAAAGGTCTGGGGATGTAGCTCATTAGTAAAGCACTTTGCCTACCATGCACAAGGCCCTAGGCTCAATCCCCAGCATCACAAAATAAAAAGGGATGGGGAACATAGATGGAATACCTGATGAAACCTGAATAAATTCTGTAGTTTAGCTAACAGTATCGCAGCAATGTTAATTTCCTAGTTTTGATCAATCTATGGTAGCTATAGAAAGTATTAACATTTGGAAAAGCTGAGTGAAAAATATAGAGAAATTCTTTGATGTTTTCAATTACTTCAGAGTGAAATGTGTTTAATTAAATTTTTAAAAGTACATCATTTAGGGATAGATAAGCAGTTGCAAGATTCTGAATCCTCTTAGAGAAAGAGTGGTTTTTGCCTCAGCAAAGCATTACACTGACACCAGCAAGCAGGGAAGGGGAAAGTGTATACAACTTACATTGGAGGAACTCTTCCCTGGTTCTGGGTTCAGGCTTTGAGGTTCGATACTTGGGCTGAACAATGGCCGACACTTGCGTTCTGATGTCATACTCTAGAAAATCAGAGTTGTGAATGCACATCTGTCCAAGTGGTCAGGAAAATCTGAGAAGCAGCACATTCTGGCTACCCTTCCCCAGGCCTCCTTGGGTGAGAAGGGACTGGCATCTAGACCATGGAACACACTCAGTAGATGAAATCTGCTAAAAAGAAGACCCCAGACTGACTTGGATCACTTAAAATATGGGCATCAGTAACCTGAGAAGCTAATCATGGAAATGCCAGCCAATTGCATCATGTGATTCACTTACCTTGTCCAGGTCTCAATTGTAAAATAAAATCAAGATAAGGGTCTCTTAGTCACATGACCTAACCAAAGAATGGCTTTGAAAGTGAGACTTCCCCTGAGTTGCATTCCCCTCCCCTCCTGCTTTCCCAGTCAGCCATTCCTAGAGACGTACCCATCACAGGCCCAGAAAGCTGCTCACCTTCATTGGAAAAATCCTGGAGGTTTTTCTTATAGTTCTCCAGCAACTGGATTAAGTGTGTAGTAGAGTCTGTGATGACCTTGCGGATGCCTGAGAGTTTATCCTTCAGGCCTATGTAAATGCTAGGGAAGGCAGTATCTTCACTGTTCTTAAACTTGCAGTACTCCTGCAGAAAAAGAAATGGCAGAACTCACCTTGGGTTCAGTATTTCTTAAATTGGGCTTCTCTTCTCTTTATGTCACTTTCTGAATCTGAAAAATAGGCTGATGGTAACACGTGCTTCACGCAAAAAAGTGTATGGTGAGTGTTTGCTCGGGATCTGACGACATCAAAGACCTCTTAAAAGAAATGGATATTTTTAAAAAGCGAGTGAGAACATGGGCTTTTAAAAATTATGAGGTCCTGGAGTTAGAGACAAGGAGGGCTGGCGCCTGGGCTCAGTGGTGGGGAGGAAGTGGCCAGTTTAGGGACCGGAGAAATGCAAAGGGGAACTTTGTTGGATGGGGCCAGTGGGGTGGGGTTGCCAGGACAAGAGGAGCTAAGGGAGAGACTAGATCCTGGGAGGGCCGTCACGGGAAGGCTGTGCTGAAAGTTCCCGCAGCAACCCATGGGGAAGGAGGTGTTACTCCAGGCCAGGCTGTGCCTGCTGCCTGTTGGACAGGGGGAGGTGACCTCCAGGAGGAAGCTCTTCCATGGGCCAAGCTGGCCTCGGCGTCCTGGTTTGTGTGCAGGAAGGAAGGCAGGGGGAGGGGGGAGGACAGAGAGGAGAGAGGTAGAGAGACAGGTGGAATTGGTTGGTTGATGACCTGGAAATTGATCGAGGAAGGCAGGCAGTTCAGGGACGCAGGCGTGCGGGGAGGGCTGACTTTGAACTTCTCAATACCAGCAGCCCCTTTTTTTCCAAACAAGGGTGTGAACCCGCCTGGGGACGAGGCCTGGTCTTGTGGAAACTGGACTTAGCTTCACGGGGCAGATCGCTCTGGCCCAGGGTGGTGGGTAACGTAGACTCAGCCTGGTGGAGCCCAGGTCTGGGTGTGAGGCAAGTCTTCACTTGGAGGTGAGGGGTGGCCTGAGAAGCGACTGCAGAGGCAAGGAGCTGTCCTCACCCGTGGCTGGTGTGGCATCTGTCTGCGAGGCTGGGGCTGCCCAGGCAGGGTGCTTATTGAGGGCAACATTGACAGACCTTTATTTTCCAGGTGACAGTGGCCCCCACTGGACTTTCCCTAGGTTCCGAGCTAATCTCTTCTGTGAGCTCACTCTACCCCTCCTCCTCCCTCTAACTCTCTGAGGTTGTTCCTTCACTTAAACCTGTCATCTGGTGGTAAGCCGGGGGAAGTCGCTGGAGCTGCCGTTGGAGTTGGTATCTTTGGTAATGGTGGAGGAGGAAAGGCCCCACTCCCCGCTGAGACTCCCGGTTGGTGGGGTGGGTTAGTGCTGCTTCTAGAAGGGTGGGGATTGAATGTGCGCCCTTGGGTGGGCCTGCACTGATAGTTTCGTTGGAAGGTCACATGCCTCATGGACGTGGTTTGTTACTGTGGTGTTTGTCATGGCAAGCAGACGGCACCAGGAGAAATGGAGCCCCTGCCATTGTGTGAGTCGGAGCAGTACAGGAGGGGAGACCCTGAAGGAAACAGCCCAATTAAATTGAATCCTGCAGATTGAATTCCAGAGGCTTAGGAGGAGTTCTTCAGTGCCACGTGTCCGGGCCTTGCTCGGGAAGCCCTGTGTGCAGGAGGCCACCATTAAAGTTTTCAGATGAGCTTGTTGGGGGCAGTCCAAAAATCCAGAGCAGATGCATCCGGCTTGAGGGGCCAGCAGCTTTGAATGAATGTCTGTTCCGGGAGCACCATCCTCTGGACACGTGAATGCCATCAGGCACCCTTCTTTTCCTGGGGATAGAGGTTTTCAGATGCTGCAACTTCTAAATAGAGCCTCAAGTCTTTCTAGTTCTGTGCTACGAACCTTGCTTCAAGAAGATTGCTAAGCTGTAGAACATTTTAATGATGCCACAACTCAGGGATGCCTTGTAGATGGCGCTTGCAGGTGGAGCCCAGTGACCTCCCGCCTACCTCCTCCCTGCCTTCTTGCCTGTCCGCTGGCCTGAGAAATTTTTAGTGTGATGATGAAACTCTTGGGTGTTGGGGAAGCTGTTGTTCAATGTCAAATGTCTTAGGTAGAGGGGGGATCTATGGGTAAGAGGAGGCAAGTTGTGGAGGGTGGGGACTTAAAAGTGTTGTGCCACAAGCCTGGGAGGGTGCAAGCTGATCATGCCAAGTTCTGGGTGTTGGAAGTGGTGTATCTAGTTTGGACCTTTCTGATGGCATCTAAGATTGCTGAAAAGGGAATGGATGGTGGGTGTACCAATAATGACGACATATTTGTGTGCTGGCAATGGAACTTAACTGATGCATACCAAGCAAGTGTGCTACCGCTGGTAGCTTATTCCCCTAGTCCAGATCTTTGATTCTTCTTACTCCATTCATTTAAACTTGGTTTTTCCTTGACTAGATATCAGAAAACCTGGGGTTCCAGCTGGGGAGAGGGTTCCTGAGGCAGGAGTTGGGATGGGTGGGGATGAAGGCAAGGAGAGGGAAGGAGGGTGGGGGCCCCACGTGGAGGTGGGAGGTTGGGAATGTGCTTTGAAGGAATTGGGAGTGTGGGTGGAAGGGGATCTAATAGAACTTATGAAGGATATACTAATGATAAACTGATAATGCTGGTTAAATTGTTGCTTAGAAGCAGTAAAAATTGCTTGGAAACTTTGTAAAAGTGCTTAGAATTTGATCAAGGAAAAAAGCGAAATTGTTTTGCTTTGCTGAGAAGTGGAGAAAATTGAGAAGGTTTGCCTAAATTCCTGAATAGTTAATCATTTGAAAAATGATCTCAGACATAAGTCATGGTGGTTCATATGAAACTGTGGAGGTGTGTGTTTTGTTTTGTTTTGTTTTTTAAGAGTAAAACAATCTTAGACTTTAAATGCCTACACTGTGGACTTTTAAACCTTAAGCATGCCCTTGAGAAAAGATGGGTTCTTCTGGGTTCATAATTCATATTTAGTCACTGAGCTATTTTGTGATTGAAAATTCTGACCATAGTGTAAATGTGATGTTTTTCAAAGCATTTCCATGTGTAAGTTGTTCTGTGAAACACTGGACCTTTTTTCTGTGATGGCTCAGTAATTATAACAGCAAAACTTGTGCTTGTTTATTTTATCTTTTCTAGTCGTAGTCTTCGTAACGAGAACCGCGTAACTGGTGGTCACGAAATTACTGTGATATTTGGTAGCAAACAATCCCTATACCGTGGCTAAGGTTACAGTGAATAATACATTGCGTCTTTAGTTTGAATGTTTGTGCTATTTAAATGATCCAGGACTAGAGGGGAAACTTACCACAATCATTTGGGGAAAAAAGAAAAACTGGGGAGAAGCAGACACCTTATTAGATGTGCTCTGTAAAAATTTAGGGAGTGCAAACCATCCTTGTTTGAGCTGCCTCTGCTGAGTTGCTGAAGCAGTATCAGCTGCTTTTTAAGTCTCTTCCCATTAATTTCACTTTGAAAAGTTTAAATCCTCAATACTTCTATCCTTGAGAGTTTTATGTTTGGGGGTTCTTTTTTTATAGTGCTTAATAGGTTGGTGTGGTAGTTTAGCTCCTAACCAGTGATTCAGGTCACTGTCATTAGAACTTGAAAGTGTATTAGTCATGCTTGTGTGGGGAATTACTCCTGGGTGTGAACTTAGAAGTGCACTACTCATGTTTGTATTGTATGGGGAAATATTTTCGGGTTTACTGTTGTGAAATGGGAACTGTAAATGCAGATGGTTAAAAATACTTGTTTATTGCTCTGTAAGGTAACTATTCTGTTGCATCATGTATGTAATTACTAACCCCTTTCTTCCCCTTTACAGCATAAATAAAAGTTAAAAAAAGAAAAAAATAAATAAAAATTATGAGGTCCTAAATGCCTATGAACAGTTCAAATACACATCCTAGACTTGGGAGCCAAAAAATAAAATCATGCTAGCCATGCAGGCAATGGAAGAGCTGGTTGCAGTGTTCTGAGGATTCACAAATTAACTCTCTCAGACAAGAGGGCTACCTTTTCCTTGATTCATCCAAAACATACTTTTCTGTAATTCCTATGGTGCACTTACAAGCTTGAAAAGTGTTTCACATAGAGAATCACATCAAGCCATTTAAGTTCCAAAGCAGGAGTTCAGATTGTTTTCAGGAAAGACTGCTTTCAGATATAACACATTACCAAGACTCAGATGTCAGTGAAGAATCAAAGCGCAGACTAGATTCAGCGGAAAACTTAAGTGATGAAAGTGGTCAGACCAAATGCTATATTCACAAAGAAGAGAAATTCTAAACTAGAGAGCTGATAGAAAGATAAGCATTTTAATATTATAAATAAATTTGGTATCATACATTAAACAGCAGGGGAAAAGATAAATGTGCCTATTTTGATTGGTTTATAATCTGGAGAAATAATCCCCCATCTCAACCAGATGTCTTTTTTACTCCTTAGGTAGGAGATCTTGGGAGAAACTCATGACACAAGAAGTCAAATTTTTATCTATACCCTTTGTATCTTCATATTTAAAATCAAAGGAACAGAGAGATAGTGTCCATATTTTTGTCTGTCTGTCTTTGTATATCTCTTTTACTCACTAAAATGTATTTTTCTATTTTTTTCAAAACAAAAAATTTGTTTCAACTGGAAGGGAATTTTTTTTCAAAATTACCAGCAAGAAAAATTATTCAAAGTTTGGAACATTAGAACTGGAGAAAGCCTTGCCAATTCCTCCAACCTGCTGGTTTGACAAGTGGGGAGTTTGAGGCCTGGAGAGGTTAAATGCTATACAAAAAAAGAGGCTATTTAATGACAGGTGCAGGAGGATGTCATTCACCTCAGCCCTCAACATAGTGTTCCTTCTCTGCAGGATCACATTCTTCAGATCTGGCACTATTGGATTAGCCCCTAACGTGGAATGACACCCTGTAATGGAAAATCCCATTCCCTCTGCAGAGCCTGCCTCAACTGCTCTAGCAGACATAGACACAGCCTGGCTGAAAAGCAGCAGAGGCTCACTCTCATCCCAGCCAGGTAACCCTCACATAGGTACAGACTACTGGAGTGCTCTTCTGCGCTCATCACTCTCCCACCGAAAATCTCTCACAGCCAGATGCCTGCCTGGCCATGCTAACCTCATCTCCATCATTATGAGCCCAGCATCCCACAGTCCATCCTTGGGGAGGTGCCTGGATTCCCCAAGCCAGCTGCTACCTCTGTGCCTTTGCACATAGTATCCGTCTACCTGGAACATACTACATCTTGAGCCTTACGCACATTTCAGGACCTCCCTGGCTTTCAGCAGCCCTATCTCCCTGTCCTGTACTCTTGCACTCTGCTGAATCAAGACCTGCTTCTCTCTGTGTCCATAGATCCTGTGCATCCCGTTTGTCAAAGTGCAGTCCCATTCATAGATGTATCTCAGGCCTGATGGAACAAGAGTGCTTGGATTCCTCCTCCTACCCCACCCCCACCTCTGTACCTCCAGGAAGAGCACAGTGCTGCTGATGGCTGCCAACCTCTCCAGCTCCTGCTTGCTTTTCTCCATCTCTGCACTCCTGTACTCCAGATGGGTCTTGATGCCATTGGCCTGGTTCAGAGCAGCTTGCTCCTTTTCCTCCAAGAAGAGCATCACATCAGCCTGGGCCTTCCTCACAGCAGCAAGGAGTTCCCCGAACTGCTCTTCAGCTGCCACCTTTACCTCTGACACTGACACCTAAGGGTTGGAGGTGGGGTGGGACAGGAAGCAGACAAGAACCAGTTAGTGAGGGCTCTGATTTTATCCAGCTTGATATACAGAAATATAAACTTGAAAAACCTATAAATTAAGGAGCAAATAATCTACTATAAAGGGAAGCTTTCATTCTCATGTGAACTGTGGGCTCCTCGCAAAAGGTCATACTCTCCCAGGTATGAGTTCTTTACCAGTTGTGAACTTAGTCTCCTCACCCATTTGATGCAAATTAGTGTATAATTTCGAAGATGCCTTCCAGTTTTGACAGTCTTGGGCTATTAATCAAGTTCCTGAAATCAGTTTTCCTACCAGAGCAATGCCTGTATCTAGTACACTTGGAGTTACATTGAAATAAATAAATTTTTTGTGAAATTGATTAGTATAAATCAGCTTTCTTAACATTTTTCTTAGCAATTTAAGATTACTGAGCCAGCGTAAGCCAAAAGTGTATCTAAGATTCCAGTGTCTCCACAAGGCATAGAGCCCCCATGAAACGTTTGCGGTGTGTGTAGACAGCCATGGAACCCAAGCAATTGCAGGATGAGCATAGTGATGCAGAAGAGAAGGCAGCAATCAAACTAACCAAAAAAATCCATATGAAGGGTTTGCATGATGACACTTGTGCATGTGGAACTTTTTCATATGCCAAATTTTCTTTATGAATGCCTTCAAGCAGCAACTCATCTACATCAATCCAAGGTCTAAATGATTTCTTCTTCTCTTCGGTGGTTTTGGGGGATTGTTAAAACAGGGTCTCACTAGGTAGTTCAGGCCAGCCTTGAACTCATTATATACCCCAGGCTGGCCTCAAAATCATGGCAGTCCTTTTGCCCCAGCCTCCCAAGTGATGGGACTATAGGCATGCATCACCATTCCTGTCTTGTTTGGTGGTTCTTAAGCACACAAATAGCTCCCTCTGATAGTGTCCTGTTGCAGTTTATTGTACAAATATGAATTACCTTGTTCAGTTGAATATAAAAGTCTTGGATACAATTTCCTTTGCTCTTACTTCCTTCATTCCCAAAGCACAGTCTCTGCCGGCCTCAGACACCCCCGTTGTCCCCACCCACCTCCAATCCCTTTTGCAGTCCTTTTATGTGCTATTTTCTCTTCCTTCTCCCAAAGGTGAGGGCCAGGCCTAGACATCAGGGCTCCAAATGGAACCAAGACAACAGACATCCTTGTGGTAGAGACTGAAGGTACATCTCTCTTCTCTGGGATCCAGGGAGAGTAAGACCCAGATTCAAAAAAGAGTCAGTAAGGAAAGGCCTCAGAAAGGAAGGTGAGTAGTTCAGCTAGGCTTTCAGCCCGTGAGCTCTCATCCTTTAGAAGCTTGCGGGAAGGACTTTGAAGCTCATCCCACTAAACTGACTTCTTGCTGGAATGAGAGAAGGGACAGAGCTTAGCCCTTGAATCACTGTGGGCACCAGATAGACACACTTGATATCACTAATGGACTAAATGTACTGCTCGGGCTGCTCCTGATCGGGTGATGAAAAGAACATGGTGTCAGTCCTCCCCAACAGCTACAGAACAAGTTGTTTATAGATGTTGTCTTCTTGTCATTGCAAACACTGAATTCTGAGATAATTAACCATAACTGGACTTAAATCTAAATGTCAAATTATATTTTCATATTGTAAATATGAAAGAAAAGATATAGGTGGCTACCACAGAGGAGATGTCAATTTTGCTTATTACCTTTGTGGGAATAGTTATCGGTGCCTTATCTCAGCTCTGCATTATACAACCTGTTCTAGCTCCCTGGCTCCCACTCCCTTCCTGCCCCATCAGACTCCAGGTGTCCAGGCTTGGTGAGTCACAGGGGCCAGTGGGGCCCCATGCCCTACCCACTCCTGGCCACCAGTGTAAAGGAGGAGCAGAACAAGACATGGGAACCAAGATGAGGGAGTCTTGGGAAAGGAATGGAAGCCATTCACACTCTATAATTACAATGTGTAGGCTCCTCAGAAAAGCATAATACTATGAGCTAAGAGGCATGAGTTAGAGGGTGAAAATCAGGATCCAAATCTCTCCCCACCCTCACTGAGGCCATCCTGGGGAAAATGGCCTCAAATGATGTCAGTGGACTGACTCTTGCTGTGGCCTCTCCATCCTAAACCTTCCCATTGAGAAATACTTCTTTCCTACATGTAAGGTGGAATGTGTGAAGGATATTATTTACTGCTCAGTGGTGATAAGCAAATACTAGAGAAGGGAGGGGCCACGAAGATATCAAAATAGCCAATAGGTAATTGTTGAAATATTTAAGGAGGCCAGGGATATAGCTCAGAGGCACAAGCACCTGCCTGGTAAGTGCAAGGTCCTGAGTTGGATTCCCGGTACCATAAATAAATAAATACATACATACATACATACAAACATACATACATACACCAAGAGAATATTTTTAAAAAATATTTGGAGCTGGGGATTTAGCTCAGCTGCACAGTGCCTGCCTGGCAAGCGCAAGGTCATGAGTTTGATGCCTGGTACTGGAAAAAAACAAATAAAAAATATTTAAGGATAGTACATATTCCTGTCAATATACTGAGTCATTCTTAGGTCAAGGGAGCAATATTCCAAAGGTTTTCTCTTCCATCAGTTTAGGGAGGCTGAGAAAGTTTTATCATCTCTCTGTGTCTTCCTATCCTTTGTCATGATGCCATTGTAATAGCTACCAACTCTTCTCACCCTGTCATTATGAGTAGAAATCATAGTGTCTGAAATTAAACAGCCAGAAAAAAAGATAACATGCTCAAAGTGATTCTCTAGGCCATTCAAAGCCTAGAAACCAACAATCTGAAAGTTTATAAAGCTTTAAAAATACAATTATTTTTCTTCTTTTAATAAGATATTTTAGGTAAGCAAGATCTTTCAGCCTTCAGGCACTAGTTAGTTATAAGCATAAGAGTGGAAATTAAGTTGAAATGCATACATGTATTAGATTGGATGGATGAATGGATGGATAGGTGTGTGTGTGTGTGTGTGTGTGTGTGTGTGTGTGTGTGTGTGTGTGTGTACAGATTGTGTCCCCCAATCTGTACACAAACAGATGGGTAGGTGGATAGGTGGGTGGGTGGGTGGATGAATGGAGATATGGGTCAATGGATAGGCAAATGGACAGATGGATAAGTGGCCAATGGGTACACAAGTGGAAAAGCAGTATGGGTATGTGTGTGGGTGGGTAGATAGATGGATAGCTGGATAAAGTGTGGATGAAATGGATGGGTGACTAGGTAGGTAGATGGAATCATCATCTCAGGTGCTGATAGTGAATATTGCCCTACTGCTAACTCACTGCCATAGGGCAGGTATTTGGCATTCTCTTGGGTTGCTACTAATGAAAGATATTTGTAGAGTTTTGATCCACTTACAGTCTATTTGGAAAGTGACTATAAACCAGAGAGACAAAAGCTAACCTAGCTTATCAAGTACTATCTGCTAATCCATGAGTTCACAACTTTTTTATTCCAGTTGTTGAGACAAAGAACTGGTGAGACACAATGCAGAACCAGTGTCATTATGGAAGGAGCCAAGATATAGTAAGTCCTCTGACTCAATACCACACACACACACACACACACACTCTTCTGGTTAAGAAAGCACTAGAAAAGCTGGGCATGATGGCACACACCTGTAATCCCAGCACTTGGGAGGCTTAGGTAGGAGGATCGCCATGAGTTCCAGGCTGGCCTTGGCTACATAGTCAATTCAAGGCCACCCTGAACTACATAATGAGACTTTGTCTCAAAAAAAAAAAAAAGCACATACATTCTTATGTAGAAATAAAAATACTGTTAATCTTGAATTAGTTTGGGTTCTACTCCTTATTACTAAAAAGTAAATCATTTGCCAGTTTTAAAACTTACACCAATTTCCTTTTTTTTGGTTTTTTTTTTTTTTTTTCTGGTATGGGGAATTGAACTCACGACCTTGCGCTTGCCAGGCAGGCGCTGCGCTGCTGAGCTAAATCCCCAGCCCACCAATTTCATAATAACTTTGGATAGCAAGGTTAGGCTACCCCATAATTAGCCAGCTGTACCCACAATTGTCACTTACTAGATACCCCACTGTGTAACTCCTGCACAATAATCCCAAGTTGGTGTTGCCAACCCTGTGATGGCACCAGCTATGCCAAAGCCTGACAGGTGACCCAGGCCAGTCTTACCAAAACAGATTTATGGTTGGTTTGGAGCCTTGCAATGGCATTTTCATTCAACTTGAGTTTCTGCTCCAGGTCTAATTGTATGCACTGAAGTTCAGCCTAGGAAGCAGAAAGGAAAAAATTAAGTTAGGAAGGAGCCCAGTGCACAAAGAAGGTCCCAAGGGCAATGGCATGTTCCACCCTTGAGGTCCCTGCCCTTCTTCCCTGAAGAGTTTGATCTCTAATACTGATCTCAGCAGCCACCCTAGAGGTACAAAGTCTTGGCTATGTGCCAGTGCCCTCTACAGCGTGACCTCAGCATGAATCAGCTAAAATGTACTGAGCACCTACACTCTTTTTATTGGTTTCAGCATTCATATAGATTACCTCTTACGATCCTTAGTATACCCACATAAGGGCAAAAATGATCCTATTTTTCAGATGAAAAACCTGAGTCATTTTCCAAGGTTGACAGCTCATCAAGTGGAGTTGAACCTAGCCTTGCTGATCCAGAATATCCTAACAAGAGTGATTATAGCTTAGAGCCAAACAATCAGGTGGGGAGCCCAGGACTTTTACTTAGCAGCTGAAACTTCAGGCAGATTTATATAGAAAAAAACAAACTTATTTTTCTTATACTCACACTCAACACAAAACACTTTTGTGATCAAAATACATGAGTTTTTTTTCCACCACACCAAAAAGCTGTCTAACACCAGCTGGGTGTCCTACAATTCAACTCAGTTCTGACACTATCTACCAGGGTCTTGTGTTGTTCATAGGTTAAAGGCTCAGTCCCACAAGACTGCGCACACCTTCACCACTTCTACTTCTGATGCCAGTTCCAAGTCTAAGTAATCACTTGGGCCCCTCACCAACTACTACCTGCCCTAATCTTGCACTGACTGTTTGACCTAATTCAATTTCTTTTTTTTTTTTTTTTTTTTGGTACTGGGAATCGAACTTGTGACCTCACACTTGCCAGGCAAGCGCTGGACCACTGAAATATATCCCCAGCCCCTAAATTTCTAACCTACTCTAATCTTGATTATCTTTGAGGATAAGATCCTTGAAGGCCAGAAGTTCCTCTTTATAGGAAGTCAAAATTGTTTATATCTAAGATGGCTGCCAGAGTGACTACCAGACAACCTCTAAATTCATTATAATCCAATTTGCTTCTGGGTAAAGGACACATCCCCAGTGCCATGACAGTTGATGGGTGCCATGATAATGACTCTTCCAAAAAGACCATGAAAGCAGCAGAGATGTGACACCTGAATTCTCAGAAAATCTCTGCCCACTTCCACAAAAGACATGAATGTTCCTTTCCTTATTACCCTTTTTCTCGCCCTTATTTCTTTTAGCCTGTATCTATAACCTCCTGACTCCCAACCAGCTAGGAAGTTGATTTCCAAGTTTATCTCTCATTTCTTGACCTATTCTATTCTTGGCCAAGAATCAAAGTGTTCTTCACTGTTTAAATGATGCTCAGTCTTGTTATTTGTTCCATAATTCCAAGAGGAGAAAAGGACTCAGTTCGGGGTTAGAAATTAGTAACATAACCAGTTATAAATTAAAGGCTCCCGTCACCCTCTCCTCACTGTCTTATTTCACAACTTGATGTCTTTAAATGTCCATTTCTTCACCTATGAGATGAAGATAGTGTCTACTTCCAAAAGTCATAAGATAATGAAATAATGTACATTAATCAGAACTTTGCTTAGTACCAGGCACATTGTGAGTACACCATGAATGTCGATGATTGTCCTTGATATTGTTGTCATCAGTATTATTTTTACCCACAACTGCTTTCCCTTTATATGCTGTATGTGCTTCTGAAAAAGGCAGAGCCAACTCCCCCATTCTACCGCCAAACCCCTTATCCCACCCCAGCCAAAACCAGTCCTGATAGAACCCTGGGTTTGCCTGTCCCAACCCCCAACTTTATTCTTGCCTCCTAAGACTCCCTAAGCACTTTCTGCCAAGAAGGCCGCCTGGCAGTTAACCTAAGTCTTTGCGAGCTTCAGAAGCTTTCTCATTTCCCAGCTTCTACAAGGGCAGGAGATAGCAAAGGAGAAATAATAATAAATACGCAAAATAAATAGCCTCTGTCTGCATTTAAATCTGAGTCATATGCTCCAGCAGAGATCAAAGGGCATAAGTTACCTGGCTTCTCTCCCACGAAGAAGCCTGGAGCCTCTCCTGCCTACTCTCCAGTGGGGGAAGCAGCTACATGCAAGGCAGTCACCTCACAGGGAAACTGCAAAAGGCGGATAATCTTTTCTCAGGCTCCACATCACTAATGTGGGGCTGAAGCAGCCCCAGTGACCTCTCATTCCTGCCACCTGAAAGCTGATGCTAAGCAGTGGGGGAGTAGGAAAAAATGGAGAGAAGGAGAGGATGAGAGGTATCTGGCTTATTCAAAAATAATCCTGGAATTCTAACCCTGCACAGTGCACAAATCTGCGGGGAAGGAGGAGACATGAATTAGTTATCTGAAGGTGTTGGAAGGTGTTGGAAGACATAGCAGAACATCTTAGCCACAAGCACATGCAATGTGGCCTTTCAACACCACTGACACAAGAATGAATTAAAGCTGTCATCCCCAGCCAGGCTCTAGAGGGCTACCCAGAGTACCCAGCAAGAGGATTTCTCTCCTCTGTCTGTGAACTGCCATAAAAGGAGAAAAGACTTTTCTGCACACAGAATGGGGATCTCTCTGAGTCACCACAAGGGGAGGCACTCCCAGTTACCACAAAAGGTGGAGCCACTTTGGAATCTTGTATCTCCAATTATTCCTGTTGCTAGAAAATGATGGGCTGTCTCAGACTCTGGTTTCAAAATTTCCCAAGAAATGAGCCATGCGTACTTCCCAGGCTAGGTTAGGCTTGACCCAAGAGCAAGACGGGGTGCCTGTGAGTACAGACTGCCTTCTAGCCATGGGCACAGAGCATCCCACCTGCTTCAGCAAGGTAACAATAAATGTTGTGCAAAAGGCACAGTATTTTGAATCTGAAAGGTCCGTTGCTGTCCAGCTGTATGATCTTGTTCAATCATTTATCTTCTCCTCTGGCACAAGGCCACACGAATATGTTGACAGAATTGTTCCTTTGTCTGTCAACAGGGCGAAAGACATATCCAGAGCATGGTAACCAAGAGTGGTTTAGAGATGCAGATAGGAACAGCAGAGGGAATAAGAAGAAAATTCCATATAGTGTCGATTCTCCTGTATTTCCAACCATACCAAGTTAGCTGTCTGGAGACTCTGCCTTTGGTATCACCTGGATGCTGACTCCATTCTTCCATCAGTTGCTTAGGGCCTACTGGATGCCAGTCCGATCAAATATGACACTCACTGCTCTTGGAAGACTTACAGTCTGGTGGACTGTTTACCAAAAAAAGCTAGATGATATTGAGCCCAGCGCATTCTTCTGAATTTCTGAAAGAAACCCTTGTTCCAAGTGGCCACATAATACCCCCTACTAGCTACCAGCAGAGACTGGGATCAATGTTGGTTAATGGCTGCCCAGATAAGCAAAGACTTTCAGCTCTCAGATGCTCCCTTCTTGCTCTACATGGCGCCTGTGCTGCACTCAGCATCTAGCCCTGATCTTTCTATAACCAATTCTGAGACTGAAAAAAGTTCCTAGTGGCCTGGTACTAGCAGCTTCCAAAGACCAAAGAATGGTTCAGCTCAGGTCTTTCTTCTTCCAAGAACCTTGTCCTGCTCTTACTCCTGGGGGCTCTCCAGGAGCCACAGTATGTACCTTGGCTTCCTAATTAGAGCCCAAGCTCCAGGAAGTCAGATAGCATAGTGCAGTATTTAGCTCACTCCATATGGATGCACTCCATAAGGGTCAGAAGCTTGAGGAACAGGAAGGAACTACATGCACTTCACTGGGAGGAAAGGTGGTCATAGCAGTCTAAACTTTACCACACATGTGCTCACACACACACACACACACACACACACACACACACACACAGCATCTCATTTCCATGGCAGCAAGCCTGAGATTCAGAGAAGATGAGAGGAGTTACCAGGCTACAGCCAAGACCTGCTCTTTTTAAGACCAAATGGGTCTCAGGAAGCTGAACTACAGCAAAGGGAAGTGCTGAATCCCCATTAGCAATAGCTAGCTGGCTTAGAGCTCAGTAAAATAGAACAAAAAATCAAAGAACACACACTTCTCAAACCCACAGTCTGCTCACTGGTCTAGTTGGTGGTAACCTTGGGAGCTTCAGAAAGGGCTCATTTGGTTAACAGAGGAATGTCACTCTGTGGACCTGCAACAGCGAGGCTACCCCTCAGTCTTAAAGGGTTAGCAAACACACCAGGGAACTGAGAGTTTAAAAAGGGTATGAAATTAAGAGAATACATCTGGAGACAAGAAGGTGAAAAGTCAGCCTAGCTGTTAAATCCTATGTGGTCAGCAGAGTTACAAAGAAGCCAGGGCTAAAAAAGACAAGATTGTTAAGATAAAACCCACTGAGGCAGGGGACTGATCTGCCCTGCTCCAAACCCAATAAGGGGCAAATTCCAAGTGGCAAGGGGTGACCACAACTGTTGAATAGTCACTAAAATAGCCTATAGATCACATTATTAGCTGGTAAAAAAAAATCGCACTCCAAAGTAGAGACTTAAGGTAGTAATAAAGCATGATCGCACAAAAAAGTATGATAAAGATGCGCAGAGGTGAAGTTAAAACTCCCCCTCTACATGCGATGACATCAAGAGACCAGGTCCCTACCTATCTTGTAGATGCCCTAAAAGCTGTACACTTTTGTCCATTTTTGTGTCAGTCTTGGATTTCTGTACTCCACGTACTACCCCAACTTGTGCTAAATTTCAGAATTAAAAACCATGTTCCTATGCCATGGTGATTGTATGATCTACAGCACAGGAACCTGTGGAGTCAGCAGCAGATCAGCTGTTCAGTGTCCTCCCAGCTGACCCTGACACTTGCAATTTCCTGTACACAACATTCCTGCCTGAGTAATATGCTCTTAACACCTCCACGGTGACCTTCATCAAGCAACTGCAGCAGGCTTGAGCTAGTTGTAAGGGGTGCAAGTTTTCCAGAGATTTAGTTATGTCCCATAATCCTTTCAAAACAATCCTAGTGGATCTGGGTCACTTCATCATGACACTATGTGTTCTGGGATGGTTCCTTGGATTCCTTTTGTTTGTTTGTTTGTTTGTTTGTTTGTTTGTTATTTTCTGGTACCAGGAATCAAACTCACAACCTTGTGCTTGCCAGGCAAGCATTGTGCCACTGAGCTAAATCCTCAGCCCCAACAGATTAGTTTGTGCTAGAGTCTTGTCTCTAGCTTCTTTCCCCCCCCCCTCTTGGTTTTTTTCCGGTACTGGGAATCAAACTCACGACCTTGCGCTTGCCAGGCAGGCGCTGTGGCACTGAGCTAAATCCTCAGCCCTTCTTGGATGCCTTGTAAGAAACATTTTGGCTCCTAATATTTGGTAAAGTAAACTTGCTCTCTCAGTTTAAAACAAGGACATGGGTTAGAAAGAAAAAATGATCTCTGAAACAGACCAGAAAGCAGAGGGGTCTGCAGTATGGGGCTGTAGCATTGCACCTACAGCTATAATTGTTTTTCAGTGCAAAAACTGCCTGATACCCGCCTCTTCCAGCTGTCCCTGTTTTGCCTTACACAGGTCTCTCCAGGGATGTCTGTGTTTGGGGCTCTACATGTGCCTTACACAGCTCCTTCTGTTGAAGTCACAATCACTGTAAGTCTCTGTTATGCTAGGTGTCCAACATTTGTCATTTATATTTTATATGTGTGTTATGGCCCATGTTTAGATGTCTCCACAAAGCCTCATGTATTCATAGGTGGGGCTTTTTCAGAGTTGGCTGGATGTAGATGGTGTGACACTGGAACTGATGTATGGTGCCATGCTAGGATCGAGGGCACTAACATTAAGGGTATGAGTGCTACGTGCCCTAAGTCCCCTGGATAAAATATAAGGGATAGAAAGAGCTGTGGTCATCCCTTGCTTGCCTGCTTTGCTATCTTCTGCTTGCCAAGAACTGTCTCTCCTCTGCAATGCCTGTCTGCCAAGCCACCCTATCTTGGACCCAGCCAATTATGGACCAAAACTTCTACAAACTATGAGCTAAATAAACCTTTCCCCTTTTAACTTTGGGTGTTGGGTATTTTGTCTCAGCAACAAGAGAAAAGTAAATAAGTCAGTCTGGCTGGTATAGGACAGAATATTTCTAAAAGAGAGAGGGTAGATAGTGTTAGCCACTGATGAGGAAAGGGAGACTCAGAGACCTGCGGTGGGCCTATTAAAATTTATTGGATCATTTGGTGGAGATTTTTTAAAAGCATCTTCATGTACCACTTTTCCATTTAAAAAGTAATAAATTTCAGATATTTTACCCAAAAAGAAGAGTACTATAATATACTATATCTTAATATCTTTAGTATATGTATGGCAGGGTTTTTTTGTGCAAAAACATTGTTTTAAAAGTAAGGTTATAATATTCTCTATAGTAAGATGGTTTTCCAGAAGCTTCCAAGCCTTGCTTCATGACTTAGTCCACTGTATGAGCCTGGGCAAATGTGCTAGAGATAATAAGAGTCCTCACTTCATTATTATTGATGATTGATGAGAAAATCCACAAAAAGCATTTCGTTCTTGACAATGCTTAATGACAGCTAACTTCCTCAACTATGTGGAGGAAATTGTATTTGTTGATCACCTCTGCTGACAGGACATCCCTTGACGTGAGAAACACTGGGAACAGTTAACAAGTGACTTCCTGGGCTGGAAACAGTGACTCATTGGCATCTGGAAGACAAAGCTTTCCAGAACATCTCCCACCCATACTGGACAGAATCAGTGCCTAGAGACAGGCATGTTGGAGGTGCCCTGACAAGGAAATCCCCGTTTCCAGAAACCACTTTCCTTCACTGCCCAGGAGCATTTGCCAAGAAATTGTTGTGAACCTACCAGCCACACACAACACAAAGAGGGAGCTGCTGGAGTATGATTATAAGAAATGCAGGACAGAAGTCACCTGTACTCCCCTGCTGGAAAAAAACAAAGTGCTCATCGGAAGTCAAAGTAGGACAAACAAAGCGTATAAAGTTTTAAATCATTTCCCAAGGCTTTTCTCGGCTCTCAGCTTTAGGCCAAAGAAAAGCTAGATTTTCTAGAAATCCTTTTATCTGATGGAAACAAAATTGCAGCTTCTGAACATGGTGTTTCTCAATCTCTCCAGCTTCCTCCACCTGGTGAAGAACTTTTATTTTCCACTAAGTTAAGCCATACTTGACAGTACACTTGAACGTGGGTTTCAAATTCTGTGTTATCTTAGCATTTTTAAGCTCTTGGATTTCACACCAGCTATCTCTATGGGGCCTCTGTTTGGGATAAAGGAAGTTGAAGAAAAGATTTCTTCTTCTCCCTTGAATTTCTGCCAAGGTTTACATTTCATCATCTGATAGTGGAGATGCCACCCAGATTATGCCAGAGGGAAATGTCCCACATGTAAGCCCCACAACTTCTGCATCATACATCCAAACACACATTTCCAAAAGGACCTGAGAAATAGCAGGAAAACATGGAAGTAGGAGCAGAGAGAAAGACAGAATCCCACAGCAACAGCAGAATAAAGATGAGATAGAGTGACCTACTTTAGTTTCCAAAGCCAATAGCAATAAATATTTATGCTGGATGAACAGCCAGGTACTAAAGCTAACATCTTTACCTGTGCACTCAAAGCACAGATGTGACATCAGTAGCTGGAGCTGTGGCACGCCCGGCCTCTCCCTGGAACACCATCTCCCACTGTTCTCTCCCAGACAGACAGACCCTAAGCACTCACCTCCTTGTGCCTTCGGGCTGCCTCCAGAGAGATAGCAGCATGGCCCCTATGCTTGTCCTGGGCACATTCCTGGCAGATGCACTGCTGATCTGTGCAGCAGAAGGCAGTCAGTGAGCTGTGGTGGGCAGGGCAGGTACGCAGGTCTTGGTCCTTCACCGGCTCAGTCAGCTGATGGCTGTGCAGTTTGCTGTTCTCCTGGTGTGGCCGAAGGTGCTCCTCACAGTAATTCACCATGCAGGTCAGACAGGATTTCACTGCTTTCACCCTGCTGCCCCCAAGGCAAAAGTCGCACAAGATCTCCCAGTCCCCCTTACCACCAGAAGTCCCAGGCTCAGCTGGGCCACCACCCTGTCCCTCTGTTGTCTCTTCCACAGGCCTACCCGGGGAGCCCACATCCTCTTCCTCTGCTGGCCTGGCTGAGTCCGAGCTAAAAGGGGCTAGAGGATGAACAGCGACCCCTAGCAGTGGCCCTGGGGCCATTAGCTCCAACTCAGCCATCTGGAACACTCTGCCACCTAAGCCTAAGCTGTCCTTCCTCTACCCCTTGGCCCAGGATCTGTGCAGCCCAAGTCAGACCAGAGAACCACGCCCAGATGACTGCAGCTGCCCCAAGACTTTAACTGTTTCCTCCCTCAGGAAGGAAGCTCAGTTACTCCTGACTGTGCTCTGGGCTTGGACAGCAGCCAGCTGCTGTGACAGAGCAGTTGGATTACTCAGCCTCAGCCCTATCACTAAGAAGTCTCCTCACCAGCTCAGGCTCCTCCTTGGGCCCAGCCCTGCCCTGAAACTTCTATTCGTGCGTGAATCATTCATCCCCCATTGGCTCTGCAGAAGACCACGTGTGTCTGTGGCTGCTCTGGAAAGAACTAAAGATTCCTGAGCTCTGCTGTAAGCCTGTATGGCTTTGTTTGTTCTCATAAGTGGATTTTTTTGTTTACATTTTAAAGGAGATCTAAAGTATAAGGATTTCTGCAATAGGACAGCTATTTACTTCTTCCCATCTCACAGAACTAGGCAGAGGCAGCTAGTAAAACCAAGAGGGAAAAGCCTCTCACTTACACTGGACATGTAGCTTAGTGGCAGGGTACTCACTCACCGTACATGGAAGGGTCTGAGTTCAATCCCCACCACCACCTCAACAACAACAAAGCCCTCTAATTTCACTTGCTATAAATTACTTGATGATGAAGTCACTAATTTTAGTGACTTTTAATTGAGTACTATAATATTAAGAGTCTCCTTCTAACTCTGCTGTAGGTACTACTTCTGACAGGTGTTATGATGATAACAGCAGCCTGGGTTCCCTTTCAGGGAAGTGAAGCCCATTTTTGTTGAAACCACCAGCTCTTCACTTGGATCTGTGCAGATTTCCAGAGGACCAGAACAGATCATGCTAATGCCACATTTTCTAAACATGCATCCCACGAAGAGCCGTATGATTGATTATGAAGACACAGACTTTACCTCCAGTCCCCTTGCCCCACACCTCAGATCTCCCTGACTCTTTACTCCATGACTACCCCAAACTATATCCTTAGGGAAGCAGATATGAGACTTGAAGCTCCCCCTCCGCTCTCAGCCACCTTGCAAATAAACTTTATTTGCAAAACTGGCTGTTTCGGTGCCTGGCATCCTGCACGGTGGGCAAAATAGGCCCAGTTCCGTAACATTAGAAAAGGATGTGTGTTTCTGGTCTTTAACTTTCCATGTCACTTTAGGTATTCCAGGAGACAGACTCCCCTGTGGGGATCAGGTGGGTCAGAGAAGACTTTGTCACCTTCCACAGACATCCCACTCAACCAACCTACAGGCTACACATTCCACCCTGCAGTCCCCAGGAACATGTGCTAAGAAACAGCCCTACTATCTGCATAACAAAATGTTTCTAGATATGGCATATTAATTTGTTCAGGATGCCATAACAAATTACTAGTGACTGGTTGGTTTTGCCAACAGAAATTGATTTCCTCACAGTTCTGAAGACTGGAAGTCTGAGATCAAGGCACTGAGATCAGGTTTCTTCTGAGGCCTCTCTCCTTGGCTTGCAGGTATCTTCCCCTGTGTCTTCATATCAGTTTCCCTCTGTGTCCTAATTCCTCTTCTTACAGGGACACCAGTGAGACTAGATTAGGGCTTGCCCTAATAACCTCATTTTACCTTACCTACATGTTTAAAGACTCTATCTCCAAATACACTCATGTTCTGAAGTACTGGAAGTTAGGCCTTCAACATGTTACTTGGGGGAAGGGTAGGAGAAGAAGAAAACACAATTCATCTCATTAAAACATGGCCAGAGGATAAGATGGGAAGGATGAAGTTCATTAGAAGGGTGCTGCAACCTTGCCCATTGGATGGGGATATGCAGTGAACTCAATGTTTGCTCAAGAGGTAGGAAGGAATCCTAGGATTATCCTAGGGGGCCAGGATGTCAATGGGACGAAAAAAACAAGGTGGAGAGGGAAATACTGGGTCCAACTAGCTCCAGAGTTTAGGTGTTGAGATGACTCTAAAATCCTGTACACTTTATAGCTGTGTACCTCTAGGTGAATTCTGTAGGATTTGGATTAAACTAGATAAATTCAGGGGAATTTCTTGTCACTGACTGAGAGACAGCAGAAATTCACAAAATCGAGAGTCTGTTATTCAAGTTAGAGGGCATGGAAAATTTTAAAAACTCATCCCGGACGTAAGTAACCCTTTTTATTTTAAATCACAATTACCTAGAAGCAAGGTTTTCTTTTTCTCCAGTACTGAGGATTGAATCTAGAGCCTTAGCACTTAACTACATCCCCAGCCCTTTTTTAAAATTTTTATTTTGAGACAGGGTCTCACAAAGTTGTTGTGCTCAAACTTGTAATCCTCCTGCTTCAGCCTCCCAGTGGGCTGGGATTATAGGTGTGGGCCACCACAACCAGCTGAAGCAGCTCTTTTTAGCAATTTAAAGTTGTCTAAATGTACTGGGCCTGACTATTCCCTTTTTCTGTTGAAGTGTCCCACCCTCACCAAGGGGTTTCCTGGTATTTAATTTCATGGTTTGCTCATCTCCAGCCAAAAGGGAAAGGAGCAGGTTTACCTAGTCTAGACCATTCTCAGAGATTTCTCCAATGTTAACAGACAGCTTTACTTCCCTTTAAGCCCTTCTTTGGAATGACCTGTCACTAGTAGTTGAACTGGCCTGCCCACATACCACAGAGCTTGGGCTTTCTGGAGAGAAAAATGGAAGCTGGCTTCCTTGTCCAGCTCATTCCACTACCTTGAGAGTACATTAGAAGGTAGCAAGTCTCCCTGCCTTCCATATGACTTGTCACTTTTCTTCTCTCATGGATTATTTCCATGCTACCCCCTTTCTATGGCTAAACCTTTAGTGCAGTTTATGGGCAATGCTCAGTCCTTCAACAATGGCCCACTGCAGGCCTAAATCAACAGACATTTCTCAACATTTCTCCACAGTGCTGGAGGAAATAAGAAACCTGAATTTTGGCCCCACTTGGCTTGGGTAAATAATTTGTCCTCTCTTAACCTCAGTTTCCTCATCCATAAAATGAGCATGCTGACCTAAGTGAAAATTGGCAAACAGATTTCTGGAGATGTCTTGGTCACTTTCCTTGTCACTGGAACAAAATACCTGATACCTGCAACTTAAAAGAAGAGAATTTTATTTTGGCTCATGTTTTAGACGTTTCAGTCCTTGCATGGTTGGCTGCAGGCAGAAGCAGCATGGTGGAAGGGTCTGGGCAAAAGAAAGCTGCTCACACATGGCAACCAGGAAGCAGAGAGCAAAGGGTGGAGCCAGGGAGGGAGACAGACCTTTCTTAGCTGCCCTCGTAACCCATGTCTTACAACCAGGCCTCACCTCCTAACAGCAAGTCAGCTATATCCCTCCATAATCCAATCATATTTCAAAACCCCACCTGTGAGCACATGAGACGCTGGGGGACATACGCGTATAAACCATAACAGGGGAGCTGTGCTGAGGAAGGGACTAAGTTTATGTCTAAGTTATTAGGGAAGGCCATCATGCTTGAGTTATGATATTGAGTATGGGGATGGAATAAACTGTAGTGGACCTGGGGAGGCCCATCCCCAGCCCTCCAAGAATACAGAATACACCACAATGTCTAAATCTCCATTGCCAACACTCAAAGCACAATTTCTTGAGTTCACTGCCAGTCCCTAGCTCTGATTCTACTTCCTGGGACTGCAACATGTTTTATCAAGCTCGGATCCCCTTGCTCAACACCTGAGCACCAGGAAAACCAGGCTAGAGTCACACTCTTCTCCTACACTTGCATTCTCTATTGAATCAAGTGCTCTACAATGACTGCACTCATTTCCCATTGGGCCTTGGGGTGTCCTGACATTTTAAGGCTCTCCTTGACAGTTTCCTTGGCCTCCTTGCCTTAACTGAAACTTGAATATCCCCTGAAGTCACTGTTTCTCTTCCCAACTCTCACCTGGCATGGCTCCCTATCTGGGACCCCTGCAGTGAGTCCCTAGTTTCCTGCAAGGTGTTTCGGTGAATGGTAAAAAGAAAGCAAGAGACAAATAGCAAGGCAGCCAGGATCTGGGATGACCATTTGTTCATGGGATCACATTTACACTAAGGAAGGTGGTGAGGAAATTATCAGGTGACTCAGATGGTGGTAGTCTTATGCTGAGAAGGATCTTACGTTGATGAAGATCACTTTGGATGACTCAGAGGGCAGCAATGATCCTAAACTAATGATGATCTTATGTTGATGAGGATGGTGGGCAGGGATGGCAGGTTAATAAAAAGTTTGTCCTTTTTCCGAGGTGAAACCTTTTTTTTATTACTATTCAGTTCTTCAGGAACCAGGATATCTTCAGCTGATGTAACCTTACCATGGAGCATCACAGCATCACCAGACTGTTGAGGCCTCAGCTGTTATGTTTCCACATAACAGTAGGCACACAGAGTTATGTTTCCACATATCATAGCCAGCTTGCCTGGCAAGATACTAGGCCTCAAATAAGTCCTAGTCACATGTTAATTATGAAATGACTTTTCCCAAAACATACAGGATGGCCCTTGACAGTTCCCTTTCTCACTTCCCATGTATCTCAAAGTCCAGGTGGAGTAAGAATCCTCATCCCCATTAAAATATCCAAACCACCATTCTCCAACTCTCTTACCAAACCTGTTCCCCTGATGCTCATGCTGCTTGTATTATTTGCCATGTCCAACACAGCTCTTTAGGTTCCCAGGGGTAAGGAAGGTGGGGAGGATGGAGAAATAAAGATAAGAGTGAGAATACAGAAAGCTGAGGTCAGGTGGAGCCCTCTCTTTGGAAGGGAGGAAAGGAACTGCTTAACATTTATACACTAGGTAGCTTGATGTCACATGACACCTCACTGTCTAGCAAGCTGTTAGCTTGGATTGCCCAGGGTTCTTGGTATTCTCTGGACTGGAGCAGCTTGTTCACATGGCTCATCTCAGGGGCTCTTTGTTCTCGGGACTGGCCTTGCTCCAGCCCCACATGTGTGATCAATCTCCAGCTTCAGCTTCTCCCCACAATTAGTCTGTTTTCTATTGCTATAACAAGATACCTTGGACTGGGTACCTTATAACCAAAAGGAATTTATTTGGGCTCACAGTAATGCTAAAGATTTCTTTGGCTTCTGCTGAGGTCCCTCTTGGCTACATCACAACATGGCAGAGAACTAGGAAGGGAAATAGCTTGGCATAGCTTTGCTGTGTAACAACCCACTCGTGTAAATTAATGAG